CAGTAGGTGAGAATCCTTCCCTTGTGAAATCTGAAATGAAATGCTCTTACTTCCACCTTCCAGCCACAGTTCTACCTGTGATATTTTTATTCATATATAAGCAAGGCAGGCAAAATTTTATTATCCTCCAGCAGATTATTTAATTGAATATTTTTTCAACAAATGTCTCTTTTCAAATATTTTGAAAAAAAAAAAACAAAATGAAACTCTAAGGAATATTTGCTTTTCAATAATGCTTCTGTATTTAAACCAAGCACAATTCTGTTTTCCTCTACTGTAACCTTTATCTCTTTGGTTTTGTTTGGTGGTGTTTTCTGGGAGATTTTTTCAATAGAATCAATTAAAACCTTTAGAGAAAATGGATGAAAAAAATTAGAAAGAAGGAAATTTTTTTCCCATGTTTTTAAAAAAAGCCTATTATGTAATAACAATATTATTTTAAAATCTTAATTAAATTTGTTAAGGTATGAACTGCTGAATCAAAATCCACTGGAGTTTTTGCACGTGGAGAAATTACATGTGACATTGTAACTGACTGGCAAACTCTCTGTTTATTCACTCAGGAACTATTCACGTCCAGAAAGCCCAGGACACATAAACAGGCATTAATCACTTTCTCCGGGGAAAGGCTCCACATCCCGATCTGCTCTCGGTGTGTTAATGAGAGCAGGTGTTCCTCCCTCCCAAAAATCAGACTAAGGAGGGGTGAGGATGCTTAAAAAACACTTCACATTCTTTTTCCCCACTTCCTCTCACCCAGAGGAGCATCACACCCTTTCGATCTTGTCTATCGTCGACCTTGACACTTGGTAAAGCCTGGCTTCACTTTCTAGCCTTTCAGCACAGAGCTTGCTTCACACATTCCTGCTCAAACCCGTGCTCTTCTGCTGCCTCTTGACAGAAGAAGCCGTGGAGGCGTCGGCCTGGAGGAAGTTGTGGGGTGCCTGAGATTAGAGTCTGTTTTGGAGCCCCACAATCTTCAGGACCAACCCTTTTGACAAGTGAGTGGTTCCCAGGAGCTGTGGCATGGCCCTGGCCACCGCCGTGTCAGCCGCACTCCCGGCTGTCCCCGAGCTGCTCTGCGCAGTGAGGAAATGCCTCTCTCTGCTCTCTGGGCTCATTTTCCCCTCCAGTTCTTGCCATGGTATAAGAACAGAGAGTGGCCAACCCATCGTGCCACCTCCACCAGCCGCCAGCTCTGACAGGAAGGGCAAAACGTTAATTAAACAGTGCTGTGCACACACCGAATATTGTTCCCTGGCACTGCCAGGTTTGGAGGGGAGGGTTAGGTTTTCATTAGCCACATTTTCCTACGTACAACTGCAAATTCACTGGGGAAATGAATGCAAACTGCCAAGGAGTGAGGGCCAAGAGACTTTTCTACAACTCTGCCTGTCTGATGCACCATTAGTGAAATGGGGTCATTGCTTATGCTACAGATTTAATAGTAATTAAACAGTAATGCTTATTAATGTTCCCTCTTCAGCTACCTCAGTTAATCTACTTAGCATAGATTTTTTTGAGAGTGATTTCTTTCCTAGGATACTTACCGTGCATGTAAATTGCATTGCATCCCAAAAAAAAAAAGGCCAAACCTCTTCATTTTAGTGACGTGAAATAAAGCTCTTCTGTCAAACATCTTAATTCAGGGAAAAAAAAAAAAAGGCATATGTTAAATGCCTCAGCCTGCAACCCAAGAAAACAGGAAGCTGCTTTTATATCAGATGTACTCTGTGGGTATTCCTCATCTGACAGATGCCCAGCAGAGTCTGAATTGAGTAAAATAGGAAACTCAGCAAATATTTCATATATTCACATATGAATTATTCACATATTCACGTATTTTCATACAGCACAGTGGGCTGCTTTGCCCTTCGATAGGCTGTTGTTCTAGGAGTTATCAGAACGAGAGCGGAAATGCAAGGACGGCTGGAATGTCTGAGCAGTAATTGTATTGCTAATGAGCCGCTGAACCAGGATGACACATTTGTGGGTTGGGAGATGAATGTCAGATCACTGTGCGCACGCTACTCTTTACTTCACATATTTATATCTGCAGGGTGTGAAATTAGAGATGGATAGAAAATATGTCTGGATTTAGCAGGGCTTGGAGAGGTCAGTGGGGCAGCCTCTGCTCCGAAACAGCCCCAGCGCTGTTCATCTCGCTGCCAGAGCAGGGAAAGGAACTCTGCTCAGTTTTGGCACCCAGCGAACCAGAGCTGCCCAGCAGATTTAAGTTTTAATTCGTAGAAAAGCAGAGTCAACATAGAAAATCCTCTCTGGGTCTAGAATTGTTCATCTGGATTAAGAAAGTAACAGAAGAATTTCAGCCAAGGTGAGATTGAGGGCCAGGTGCAGTCCCCACAACAGCCAGAGAGGAGATTCGGCTGAAAACCTCAGAGCTGTTTAATTCAAAACCTTCAGCTCTAAATCTCAGAGAAAACTGCAGACTTTCAAAGAGGAGCCACATAATACAGTAGATCCTGGTGCTTATGAGCTCAGCAAGGCATGTGCTGTGCAGTCAGGCTGGAGTTCGTGTGTCTGAGAAGGAAAACCAGACACAGCCAAGGACTGGGGACGAGGCCAGTGAAGTGCTGAGAAGGTTCGGCACCTGCTGCCTTCCAGCAAGCGGTTCCTCTTCAATGTTTCTCTCTTTCGTCTAATGAATCTGCATTTTAACAAATCAGTGCATTTCTGAAATTAATATTTAAGCATAAAAAAAAGAAAACCACTTCTATAGGTATTATTTCTCTCATGACAAATGACCGGTGGCCACCAGCCATCCTGAAGGTTTTCCTTTGCAGTCAGTAGCCAGTGTCGTGCTGCATCAAAGAGATAAGGCTAAATCTATTCTCATGGTTTTTAATATTTATCTCACTTCCTATGCCTTAGTTCAGCACAGTCAGGTGGTGAATCACCAAGAAAAAGAAGATTGTGCTTTTCTTTTACAGCTAAGTGAAGAAGAAGTGACCTGAACTCTGCTCCAAATTTTCTCCAATTTTTCTGTGCTTAGCTCTGGAAAGCCACAATACTCAGAGATGAGCCTTCGAGAAGGCTGCAGAGGACTTATAGTTAAACTTGCACAGGTCTCCAAAATGAGATCTAAATTAATCTTCCTAAGCTCAAATACCTAATTCTAATGCAGTGTGGCAATAACAGGGACCTTGATAATGTATTTAGCTTTTATTGTTAAGTTCCCCATGTTTAGAAGAAGAAAAGTTGAATAAACAAGTTTAAAAGGCCATGCTGAAGTCTGGCTCTGTGACATCAATAATGCACATTATTTTCACAAAGATATTGGTATTTATGAAAAAAATAGAGGATGGGTTTAAAACAGGCCTGATTTGAGTACCGTTCTCACAAAGTCAGGTGGAGTTGTGGCCGCTTGTGCCAGCGATAGATTCGGGCTACTGAAGAAGGAAGAAAGTTGCAGAGATGGGGTAACACATCAATGGATGTGCTTACCCATAATAAAAAAGCAGAGTCTTTAGTTCTTAGTGCTTGCAAGGTGACAATCTGCAGCAGACGCAAGAAATGGCTCCTTCTCTTGGGCGCTGAACAACATGGGCACAGCTGAGCTCTGGCTCTTCCCAACACCAGGGCACTTCCAAAAAGTCTGTGAAGAACAAGGAGATTCAAGTGGACAATATTATCTAAGAACTGGACCAAGTTTTGTATGCACGATGCTCGCATTTTGTTGAAATTTGCGCAACAAAGCAAAAAAGGCCACTAAATAATTTTAGTACAACTTTTTTGTCAAAATCACTCCCATATTCCCCACATTTGCCTCTGAGCTATTTGAATGGATGAGAAGGTGAAGTCGGAGTAGTCTGTTGGCCTTTGTGTGTTTTCAATCATTTTTAGCCAGCCTCTCGGCAGTGCTGTGACTGTGCTATCAAGAATAGCTGTAACCTGCCCAGTCACATACACAACATGAAGAAGGAAGGAAAGATTTTCTGAATCATTTGCAAATATTCTAGTCACAAAATCACAGAATTGCCATGGTTGGAAGGGACCTCTGAGATCATCGAGTCCAACCTTAAAAAAAAACAAAACAAAACACAAACCAAACAACATCAACATCAAAAAAACCCCAAACAAAACCAACCAAACAAAGAAAGTCCTCTCTCTGTTTCTGAGCATTTATACAGCACGCAGCACTGACCCCTGGCATTCAACTAGTGTTAATGTTTAGGTGAGGAAAGAGTGGTTTATAGTGAAAATAAGCACGGGGGGGTGGGGGGGAAGTGCTTTATCACAAACTGTGTGGTGCCAATGCAGGTGTATGGTGCCTGCACCAAAAAAATACCCAAGGCCCAGCTTTACAAGCCCTGCTCTCTGGCTCTCATTTGATCTCTCTTCAAAGTGCTCCCTCCAGCAGAGCCCTTGCAAAGCACAGCTTTAGAGTTGCAATGGGAGAAATTCTCCTCGCTCATCAGCGCTCAGGGCCTTGTGGCTGCGGCTCTGGAGTGTCCAGAGTTCCTCTCCCATGCCTTGTGCTGCACGAGTGCTGAAGAATGGACCTTTTCCCAAAGAAGATCCTTCAGAAGAGTAATGTAAAGACTTTGCTTTAAGATGGTTCTGAAAAAGGTGGAGTTGTGACCTTAAGGGAGCTATTCTTTGCCCTTGGTGTGAAACTGATACGTTTGGATAGAGGATCTGTAGAACTTACATGTTGGCTTGAAAGCTGTGTGGATGAGAGTTGTTCATGCACGGCAAAGGAAGTCAGCTACCAGGAGGCAGAGAGAAAGAGCAGTTCCTCTCTGAGGAGAAACTTGTCCTATCTCCAAGTGTCCTAGCAGAATGTTTACAAAACGCTCATTAAGGGAAGGGGGATTGCAAGATAGCAAGAAATCTGGTGAACAGCTTACACTGCGCGAGATAAGAGAGGGAGGGCGACCATAGAAGAGAGCGAGCCATATCCAATTACCGAGACCTGGTTTTGGGGAGGGGGAAGGGGGAGACAGACAGGACGGATCACAAGTTTCAAGACAAGAGCTTCCAAACTTGTCATCTCTGTGTGACACAAGCCGCGTACAACCCAGCGGATAAAACCGCCACTTAGCCCACAGGAGAGCTAGAGCTTGTTGAGTGCGGTTGGGGTTAGAGCGAAGTCATGGATTCCGTAGTCGTCCAGCTGTGGGCTGTCCTCTGTCTCTCGCTTCACCTTGCCACCGGCAGTCCCATCCTGAGCTTGGAGCACTCTTCCTTGGAGGAAGATGTGCCTCTTTTCGACGAGATTCTCTCTGAGCAGGATGGCGTTGATTTCAACACGCTGCTGCAGAATATGAAAAACGAGTTTTTGAAGACATTGAACCTCTCTGACATTCCTCTGCACGAGACGGCCAAGGTGGATCCACCAGAGTACATGCTAGAGCTGTACAACAGGTTTGCCACTGACAGGACATCTATGCCATCCGCAAATATTATTAGGAGCTTCAAAAACGAAGGTAAGATATGTGCATCTGTAGGAGAAGTAAATAGAAATGAGACTCTTTATAGTCAGTATGAACCGTATTTGCACAGCATGGAGTGTGAACCGCAGCAGGGGAAAAAAAGGCCTTTCGGTAAGGATGGTGTGGGAAATAGGCAGCCGACAGTGTGTGTCCCGGTGTTCCCCACATCCCACTGCTCGTGAGAGACATCCCTTGTCCTCTGCTTTTGAGATTGCAAGGTCTGGGGGGAAGAAGGTGTTTCTTTAATGTTAGAATGGCACCATGAGAGACATCCCTTGTCCTCTGCTTTTGAGTCTGCAAAGTTTGGGGGGAAGAAGGTGTTAGAATGGCACCGACTATAATTTGGGTGCATCCTTTCTATTATCCTGTAATGACACACATCATTTGCAATTACCTGGTTGATTTTTCAAATGGATACCTTAAGTAATATTTAAAATTGTTGCAAGGAATGTTTTTACAGGCTGTTCAAAGGTGCAGTATTTTCCTATTATGAGCTTAACCAAACACGGCTTTCTGATTATATCCTCTCATTATTGATCCTCATGGGATTTGTAATATTTTCTTCCTTTGGCATCTGAGCACCGTCCAGCAAATATATAGTGAAACAGAATTTTGGATAATCTTTAGGTTCTACTTTGGAGGACTAGAATATTTCATATTAAAAAAAAAAAAAAGAGCTGAAGAAGCCAAATTGTGGCCATAGGTCATTTCCCTGTATGTTTCTGCTTCTGCATTTCCTCTCAGTTCAACAAGGAGAAGATAATGTTCCAGTGCTAACATTCAATACCTATCTGTGGCAATACAGGTTTTATGTTAAAAACGTTTTTCAACTAATCATTGCCCAATACCGATTCCTCCACCTGGCAAATACAAATGCTTTCAGTCTTTTTAACTACTCAGGGGTACAGGCAACTATTCAAACTGCCTTGGGGCTTCCCTCATCCTTTGTTAGTCTAGTTAACGAAGTATAGAAGTTGTTACTGCTTTTTTCTAACATTTGCAATTACAAAGTGATGAACTTCAAGGAGAGGCTACGAGCAAGTCCTTTCAGTTGTGCAGCGCAGTGGGATGTGAGGAGAGAACCCAAAAGCTCTGTTTTGCCCTGTCCATCTGCCAGGCCTGGGCACCCTTTAACCAGCAACACTTTTCTGGTTTGAAGAGGCACTCCACTGGGGTTTAAATCTTCTTTACATATCCTTTTCTCCACTCTGGAGAGATGTCTTGAAGGGTTGGTGGCAAAGCAGTTGCACCCGCTGGTGAAGAGTCACTCGTCTGACCAGCCGTGCCTGTCACTGCTCATCAGCACAAAGGAGGACATGCAGGAACACAAGTTGGTTTTTCCCACTTTGCACTATTTGGAAAAATAAATGGGATAAAAATTAGTACAATGTGCTAACGAATAAAATACAGTGTGGTTTAGTGACATAAATCTGAAGTCATTCCATTGGCAAACCCCAAATTCAAATACAGTGTGGTTTAGTGACATAAATCTGAAGTCATTCCTTTGGCAAACCCAAAATTTGTTCAGGTTTGCAGCATTTCCAATGGTGCAGCCCAACGTGGCTCTGGCCCTCCCAAGCTCTGGAGCCAGGGCGCTCGATGCCGTTTCCTCACGGCCCAAGTTCTTGGGTAAACTCAGCTTAACCTTGTGGGATTCCAATATTTCCCTCACCTCTTCCAATCCAAGCCAGCAAGATGAGGAGTGAGATTGCTGATGTTAAGACAAGCTTCATAAACACATGCAGTTAGAGGGATTATGCGATTAGTGTTTGTTATGTATCTTGAAAGTCTGTATAATGAAGAACCATCCGTTTCATGCTAAAGAGCTCTTTTGGTAGAGAAATTAATTACATGCAAGGACCAAGATAGTGGAAACAGATCATACCAGGTACATTTTTTTGTTCACCTGCTGACTGGAAATTGGCAGTAATGGTAGTTTCATTATTATCCATTAAATTCTTTATTAAATTTGTTGTACGAACATTATAGAAATATAATGAGCTGCATGGCTGGAATTAGGTCTTTGTTTTAACCCATGAACTGTAACATCCCCATTGTAAATGGGACTGTAATCAGTTCTTAGAACTTGAATAAAGGTCTTAAGGGAAATTTTTCTCTTCCTATGGACTGGAGATCTCCCTGGCCCACCTGGGGCTGTACTGGTAACCTGTGGACTTTCCAGCTAAAGAGCAAAGTCAGATCCTGACTTGGAAATGAAAACTTCTCATGCCTTGCTAGTGCTCACCCACCTTCCCCTGCCTCCTGCTGAATTACATCTTCCATATGGCCAGGTGGCATTTCTCCCTCCTGTCGTTATGTGTAATCACTGCAGACTTGCTTTAGCGAGTCGAGCTCTAGGAAATCCCAGAGATTCCTTCCTTTATGGAGGTTACAGCTAAGTGTGAATCTGAGTGTGAATAGTGTTGTCGTCCAGCTCACGGCCCTGGCACCGTGCAGAGCAGATTCAGCTCCCACCTTTATCAATTGACAGGTAGGGAAATACAAGCCCAACCACCTTTTTTTTTTTTTTTTTTTTTTTTTTTTTTTGTCGTCCAGCTCACGGCCCTGGCACCGTGCAGAGCAGATTCAGCTCCCACCTTTATCAATTGACAGGTAGGGAAATACAAGCCCAACCACCTTTTTTTTTTTTTTTTTTTTTTTTTTTTTTAATTTATGAACAGATGAAAGTGCAAAATGGAAAAACAAACTAAAAGGGCAGGTGCCTCAAAACTGAAATTAAGTAGGACAAGTCATGTGCTTAAGTTAACTGCTTGCTTAAGTGCACTGATGGAGCATGGCCAATACTTGCAACTTTATCAGTGTCATTTTTTCTACAAACATATCAAAATTGGAGAAGTCAGAGATGAAGATAGTAATAGGTCACAAGTAGTTTGCCTTTGCAGAAATGTTACCCATAGTCCCTATGTCCTATTCTGCCTTCTGAGTTCCAAGTAGACAGCACAGTCATTCAGCAACAAATACACAATCATGCGCTAAGAATCCTGCATTGTGTGAAGAAATGCATATTGCCTGTGTATAAACAAACAATGCAGATAGGACAGACAGCCTGACTGACAAGCAGATATTATGTACTTCTTATATGTTTTATTAACTAAAGCTGCCAAAAGTGCCTGGCTGAGTACAGCTGTTTGACTGCTCACTTGAAGCCCATTGAGTCTGTGGCAGGATTTCTGTTGCCTGATGTTCACGCTGGATGTTCACTGCCTGCTCTTCCTAACCAGGAGCCTTTACATCTTCTGATGCTACTTTTCCTCTCTTAGTGCTTGGCCCTTTCAGTTTCTGAGGGATGTTTCAGCAGAAGGGAACACTTGCTGGCACAGAAATGCTCAGCAGACACAGACACAGCCTGTGGTCTTGTATATGCAGGCTTCTTGTATATGCATCCTTCTTCCCTTCCTCTCCTGCACTGATGAATGTTTCCCCTCATTTCTTAAAGAGTTACTGTGCTGCGACCTAGAATTGTTTTTGTTTCGGTATTATGCAACACATTTTTAATATGTAATCCTTCCAGGGCAAGGAAGTCCCTGGAAGGCATGGGGATAGAAGGACAATCTATGAATCCGGATTTATGCTCCTTATCATGTCTGGGATCTTGCTGTCCTTAGACATCTGAAATAAATTTGGCCTTTTTTAGAAGTACAGTTTTGGGAAATGATGAAAAGCACTCTACTGGAGCTGTTCAGCTGAAACCAAGCAATGCAAAACATGTCAGATGAAGTTTGGTGCATGTGTTGCTGGATGTATTGACCCTTGTAAAATATTTGATCTTTATCATTTCCAGACTTGGCTTCCCACCCTATTGGTGTTACCGGAATTCGGAAATATCCTCTTCTGTTCAATGTTTCCATCCCTCACCATGAAGAAATCATCATGGCAGAGCTGAGGCTCTACACCTTGGTGGAGCGGGACCAAATGCTCTATGATGGGCTTGACCGGAAGGTCACCATTGTTGAAGTGCTGGAAGATGACCATATGGGGGTAGGAGAAGAGAGAAAGACAGTGGCACTGGCATCCAGGCAGATCTACGGCACGAGCAGCGAGTGGGAGAGCTTTGAGGTCACTGAGGCCATCAGGCGTTGGCGAAGGGCAGGGCTGACCACACACCGGCTGGAAGTTCATATAGAGAGTAGGGAAGGGGAGGAGCAGAACGGAGAGGGGAAACTCGACATCGACATCAACTCTGAGGCTAAGCATGTGCCCCTGTTGATTGTGTTCTCTGATGACCAAAGCAATGACAAGAAAGAGGAGAAGCAAGAGCTGAACGAAATGATAGACCATGAGCAGCTCCTGGACTTGGAGAACCTGGAGGTTGGCAATTTCCACGGCCAGCCTGGTGAGGAGGCGCTACTCCAGATGCGCTCCAACATAATTTACGACTCTACTGCCCGAATCCGGAGGAATGCAAAAGGCAACTACTGCAAAAAGACTCCGCTCTACATAGATTTCAAGGAGATTGGCTGGGATTCCTGGATCATCGCCCCGGCAGGATACGAAGCTTATGAGTGCCACGGAGTGTGCGCCTACCCTTTAACAGAGCATGTCACACCAACGAAACATGCCATTGTCCAGACTTTGGTTCACCTGAAGAATCCCCAGAAAGCCTCCAAGGCCTGCTGTGTGCCCACCAAACTCGATCCCATCTCTATTCTCTACTTAGATGCAGGGGTGGTCACCTACAAGTTCAAATACGAAGGCATGGTGGTATCAGAGTGCGGCTGCAGATAGTAGCAGGGAATGCATGCACAGGGGATTGCACAGGGGAGGTATTTAATGATTCAGTCTGTAAATTTGTACATTTCGGATTTCCTATTTAATAAGGTTATTTAAAGAGGCATGTACAGAAAATTGTATGTTTCCTGTTACGGGGAATGGGCAAGTCGTACGACTGTAGGGAATGTATATTTTGTTCCATTGCTTGCTTCTTGCTGTTCTTTGATGTCCAAATTATGACCGAGTCTCTCTTCTGATCAGGGCATAGAGCAGATCACTGGATTTTTTGGGAGGGCTCTTCGTGCCAAGGGGGCACATTCAAATTCACAGAAATAAAAGCATATTTTTGTAATTTATAAATGTTGATTGGCATCTGTAGGGATTTCCAGGGCTACTAAAGATAGGTGAACTATGGGCAATACACACCCAGATTGTTTAGTTTTGTGTAAAATCTTTATAAAGATCTTTACATGCTCAGATATTTTTTTAAAAAACTTAACTCTGTAGATCTTAAGTCCTGATAACTCTCAAGCTCCTAAATCACTAAGGCACAACAAGGTGTTAGACTTTTTCCCTTTTCCTTAATCCTTTCTTTAATCTTTCCCTGGCTCAGCGGTAACTGGCAGGGATGACCCAGCACTGGGAGAGGAAGGGATCCGTTCCCTTCCCCCTGTTTCTCAGCAAAGTGATGGGCCTGGGAGCGATGCCCAGCTCGTGCCACGCTCTGACCTGCAATGACAGAGATTCCCCCTCTGTGTGTTTATTGCAGAAGCCCCCCGTGGGGAGCAGCACTGGCCTTGCTGCCTTGGCCGTGCGTTGTCTCTCAAGGGCCAGAGCTTTAGGTGGCAGAAATAAGTGCGGTGAATTTCATGAATTTTTGAAATCGTACCACTTCATCCCAGCTGAAAACTAGTCCCCGTACCCAGTCCAGTAGGTTGTGCACGACACGGCTAATCCAGTTCAGGTGGCCAAGTGGTAGCATTGTGTTTAGTCTGCATAGAGCTAGGCAGAAAGGAAGCCCCTTTGTGCCAGCAAGATAGAGAGGATCTTTCCTTTATGCATGTGCTGAAGTTGTCAATTCATAAAGATATTGCCCCCCCCACTTAAACTATATATGATGGAGTCACATGCCATGTTTCCACCACTCTTCTGCAACAAATCAGGATGATAAGAAGGTGTCGGAGCTGAGAAACAATAGACCCGTCACTTTATTTATACTAAGCTGCAAATTTGTCAGATTCTTGGGAAAGTGTAAGTGACGTTGACTCTTTTAGCCTGTACCAGAGCCTACCGTACTGTCCCTGCATCTGTTTTACACTTTTAAGGGAAAGTTATCTTCCCTGGAAGTGATAAGGGTCTTTGAAAGAATCACTCCAACACTTCATGGGAAAGAACACAAAAGACTTTTATCATGCACCAACTAAAACCAGTTTCACCTATTTTCACACATACTCTTCTGTGCTTCCCATAATTTATTGACCTATTTATTGACTGCCTGCCTTTGTAATATAATGTAGAATACAGAATGTTTTATTTTTGTGCTTGTGTTGTAATCCCACTTGGATAAAGCCTTGTACTGATCCTATTTTACATGGAATCTCTCTGTTGAGTTGCGCTGCCGCAGAGATTGGGTTTGCTGGTTGTTTTTCCCCCCTTGATATTTGTAAATACCCTATACCACACTTCTCTCCCTTTCTTACACAACTGTGCACTCCCTGCAGTGATTTAAATAGCATTCTGGAGCACATATAGTCTTGCCCAGCCTATAACTACTCTTGCAGGGCTATCACTGCTGTGAGTGGCCAGCTGCGTGGTTTATTGCAGAATTATGCCGTCTCCACTCGTGCTGTGTGTTTCCAGACAGTGGGCTGTGCCGTGAGGCTGCGTTGCTTTCTCCCTGCCTCCGGTCTCACAGACCTTTCCCCCCGGCCACGCTGCGATGGCGGGCGGTGGCGAACGGCACGCTAAAAGAATCCGTCGGAGGTGTGATATCTCTCTCTGCTGACACGAGCTGCAGCAGCCAACGGTTGAAGTGTGACCGCACAGATCCTTTCAAAACCATCCACGATTCTTATGAAGCCATTTGCCAAGACAAGCCATTCACCTTGTTAGGAGTGATAATCCAGCATTAGGGAGATAATCCGACATTTGCCTTTATCATCTCTTTTCTGCGACTGTTCCCGTGGCCGTGCTCACACCAGCGTGCTTCTCACACCACGGTCCTTCACTGAACAGAACCAGCACTTCTCAACAGCCTGTAGGGCAGCCTGTGCCTTAAAAATAAGAAGTAGCCCACTGCAATCACCCATAATCACTATAAATTTTCAAGTGACCACGTAGCAAAGCAGAGGGACTGCCTTCACACCCTTTTATTGCCAGAGCTGTGTTGTAATAGAGCAGAGGGTGTGCAGCGTGTCACGGCACAGCGCACACGCGGGTGGGCATGTCATTGGAGCCATAAGGAAACCTGCACGTGGGGATTTTGACCAGCTCAGTCAAAATATCAGTGATTAGAATTAGAGGCCAGCCAGGCTTTTATTGTTAGTAAATGCACTAATTTACTGTACTGCTGATTCAAGAGCATTTCAGCCAGAATTTGCGGTGAAAAACCAGAAAGGATGAAATGTATCCTACTGTGCTATTTTGGGAGGAAACTGAGCATCTTTTGAATCCTTCAGCTGCACCTGTGTGGTTCCCAACCTGAGGTTAGAACTACTGAGAATAATATTTCATTTATTGATACGTGTCTCTTAGGATCGCATGCCTGCTTCATGAGCAAAACCTTACCTTACTTCTATCTTACCTTTGAATATAATTATGCAAAGATTTGCTGGGTGCTCATGCAGTTCAACGGCAGAGATCAGGCAAAATAACACCAGAAAAATGGGGGTAGTTATTTTATAAAGTGCTTTCCGTACGTAGCAAATTAAGGTTGTTTCTGAAAATTCAGAAGTGCACAGCTTCAAATGCACCTGTCTATATGGATAAGACACTCACAAATAAATGGTGAGTGCATGACAACAGCCAGGGGCACCAAGCTGTAAGTGCTGGTAACGTCAGCAACAAGTCCCTGAAAAAGTATTCCACTGCATGCTTGCATTTTCTTTGCTTCTTTTCTCTTTCCTTCCTTATTCCTTCCTTCCATCCATCCGCATTAGTGCTGTGAGTTCTTCTGTTTCTAAAATAATTTATTTTTCACATTAAATAGTAGTGTGCATTGATTTTCCTTTCATTTCTGATCTGTTTCATATCAACGTGCGAGCAGATGCTTGACTTAAATCGTAAAAGCTCAAACCAATTTTAGGAAGGTTTGAAAAAATATGGCTTCAATGTGGAAGTGTCTGTCTTTCCCATCCATCCACCCATCCACCCATCCATCCATCCATCCATCCATCCCTAAATCACTGCATGCAGCTAAAGGAGACAGCAACGCTGTCTCACTGAAATCATCAATATCAGTTGGATTTTTCTTTCCTCTCTGTGTAACTGAATCCGTATAAGCAAGTGTGAGCAGATGCAAAGCCCCTTTTTTTCTGGGCGCTGTGTGGAATGCTGGGCAGTGATTGCAGCCTCAATAGAGGGGACAGGCAAAGGGGTGGGGACAGAAACAAGCGATACAAAGAGAGGAAGAGCCTGGATAACATATCAGCGAGGGAGCTGAGGGAAGAGCTTTGGTCTTGGATTGCTGCTCTTAAATCAACACACACGATACCTCCAGAAGAGTATGGACTCGAGACATCTTCCTCATTTCTTGGCCTTTGAAGAAATCGTGACAGCTGTGTCTCCTGTGCAGACACTCAGCACCAATGCCAGATCTCACAAAGCACTTGGAAGTTTGAGGTTCCCTTAAATGATCCCTATCTCTTAGCTCTCAGCACATGGACTAAAATTCCTTAAATAGATTTCCCCCTAAAGCTTTCCTGCATTATCCCTTTCTTGGGTGTGATCCCTGGAGTCCAGGCTCACCCTGAGTAGCTGATTGAAGATACAGAATCCCAGGTTTTTGAGCATTAAAGCCTGACAGCTCAGCATGGCTTTTTCTGTCCCTGCTGCCCCAGCCCTGTGAGCCCCCTTGCTCTGGGCAAACTGGACGTTTTGGGGTGGCCTGGGGAGAAGGGAGCAGAGCCCCACATTGTTCTGGCACCCCCCTCTCCCGAGCAGCGCCTGGTGCTGGCTCATGCTGCTCCCATTTGGAGGTGCCCAAATGTCAGTCTTTGGGAAAAAAAAAAGAAAAAAAAAAGAAAGTATTCCTGAATATTGTGGACACATATCTCTTTCCAAAGGCAGAGGACCTTGCTGGGGGAGCAGCAACTCAGGAGCTAAAAGCATGAGGATCAGCCCCCCCAGAACTGAAGTCACTAAGGAAAAATCATCTCCCAAAGCAGCAGCCAGAACCTCTGCCCAGCCTCTTTCCCAGGCTCCAGCTGCTGCTCTGCCCTTCTTAGGACCTCCCGCAGCCTGGAGATATCCAAGGATCCCGTGGTTTTTAACAGCTGTGGGCAGTTCAGTGCCTGACCCACCTACAGCACAATGCGAGAGGTTCTGGTAAGTATTTTCTGTGAAACACACTGGGCCAAACCCCAGCAAAATCTGTGATATTTTCAGGGGGGAAAAAAAAAAAAAAAAAAAAAAAAAGAAAACAGAGAGAAGAAAATTTCCTGGCACTTGAACATCTGCTTCAAGCATTTGAAAAACTACAGCCCAGTGTTAATTTAAACTTCCTTATAACCCGGTGCAACATTTGGAGTGCAAACACAGTTAATAGGATGGGAACTGGGGTAGTGGGGGTTTGCTTACTATATTGGGAAACAAAGCCAGAACAAAACTAGCTTGAGATAGAGTTTTTGTTTATACTGCTGACCCATCTGTCTTCATTAATGCACTATTTACAGGAAAAGTTTAAAAATTAGCTTCTGCTCCTTCTTCAATTGAAACAGCAACAAATAAAGGCTGAATGGTTCATTTGCCCTTGACTAAAAATGGAAATTCTTATCAGGACCTCTTGGAAGAAGAGGTTTATTATATGGAGTGTATTATTGTTGAATATTGGAGCTGGGACTAGGCATTTTGGCCACAGCTGTATTTCTAGCACAGGCAACGTCGGGAGTGAAGAGTGTCACAGAAAGCAGAAACCAGCTACAAGACGTGACCCGTGTCTTACTCTGAATTCCTGCTTTGAAGTCTAAGGGAGAAATAATATGTTTTTTTTTCCCTGTGTTGACCCCCATGGGATAATGGTGGGGTTTCCCTGGGTGTGAAAAGGGACCCATTTGAGGCCAAGCCTTGACATGGGATAGAAACCACCCAGGGGGTCTCAGATACGGACACCAGCGTGGGGCAGTTCCCCTTTCTCTTACCTGCAACTAGAAGGACAACAAAGGGACAACACCACATATGCACTTGAATTTCTAGAGTTTAGATACATAAATGAGAACATACGAAAGCCGCCCCAAATGTGTCTGTCCTGAATGTCCTCCAGAGAAAATGAGGCAAATTTCTGACAAGCTGTAATTAAGCCAGTTTAGCTGGACAGACCTGGCCACAGGTGCAGTTGGCTCAGCTGTAACCCAAAGAGGACCTGGGTTTGTGGCCTGGCACCCCTGGACATTTCCCCATGAAAAGAGCCTGTCAGACCAACTGCTGTGCAAATGAACTTCTTTAAAAGCATCTTCTCAGTATAAAAAAAAAGTTCAGTTTTGCACTACAAGTCCACTGAAATAGAGACATCCATTAAAAAAATCAAACCCAAACTCTCTTTTCTATAAGCCATAAAGGCAGTAATTTCCAAAGGGAAATGTATCAGAGTTACCATCTCATTTGCACAGCCCACTACAGGCACAGGCATCCAAATGATCCCAGAACCTTGGGCACATTTTGGGAACAAATCTGGCTGCAAGGGCATCTTGTCCTGCTCTCCTTCTCCCCTCCTCTCCTTTCCTGCCCTGCTCTCTTTCCTCTCCTCCCTGCCCCACTCTCCTTACCCCCTTCTCCCTGCCCCTCTCCCTCCTTACCCCCTTCTCCCTGCCCTGCTCTCCTTCCCCTCCTCCCTGCCCCTCTCCCTCTCTCTCCCCTTCTCCCTGCCCTGCTCTCTTTCTCCCTCCTCTCCTTCCCTGCTCTCCTTCTGCCCTCTCCCTGCCCCACTCTCCTTCTCCCTTCTCCCTGCCCTGCTCTCCTTCTCCCTCCTCTCCTTCCCTCCTCTCCTTCTGCCCTCTCCCTGCCCTACTCTTCTTCTCCCTTCTCCCTGCCCTGCTCTCCTTCTCCCTCCTCTCCTTCCCTCCTCTCCTTCTGCCCTCTCCCTGCCCTACTCTTCTTCTCCCTTCTCCCTGCCCTGCTCTCCTTCTCCCCCCACTTCCTTCCTGCCCTGCTCTTCTTCTCCCTTCTCCCTGCCCTGCTCTCCATCCCTCCTTCTCCCTGCCCTGCTCTGCTTCCCCCCTCCTCTGCTCTCCTTCTCCCCTCCCCTCCTCCCTGCCCTGCTCTTCATCCCCACTCTCTCACTCTCCATCCACGTTCTCGTTGTCTCTTGCCCGGTTCCCAGGGGATCGGGGCTGGAGGCTGGGAGTGTGTCTGCCCCTCTCCCGGAGGAGCCTCTGGCTGGGGAGACGCTGGCTGGTGGAAGCGGTGGAAGGAGCAGCCGTTAGAGTTACTGCTTCTTTTCCCAGACAAAAGTGGAAGGAAAAGTCCACCTTTTGATACCCTTGTCAGGAAGACGAATGGTGGAAGGGGGTCCAGTTCTCCCTTGGTAACATCCCCTGCAGCAACTGAGCACATTTTTGTTCTGAGCGCATCTGCACGATAGTAAATGCCAATTTACTGCCTCTCCAGTCTCTTCAGATGTCAATCCGGATCTGAGCTAGCAATTAGCTGGGAAAATTTCTGCTTCCAACCCCATCTCCCCACACAGCATTGCTGGCAAAACTTAGGATATCCCTGCGTTATTCCAGCAAACTGAGTTACTTTTTAGAGCAGATAATGCCAGAAAATACAGCAGTGTATTGCTAACACATATCCTGTGATATATCCAGCTCAGGGCAGATGAGCTTCCTTGGACAACAGGACGTTTGGTGACTTGTTTCACGCTGTTGGAGTGGTGCCCACTGCGATTCTCTTCACAGCACAGATTGATCAAGCCCCTGCTCAGCATTTCAAGGGCTTAGCGGGCCCTTTGATTGCATTTGTTATGTAAACAGAGGAAATATGAGGGATAAAAGCAATCAGCATGGGCTGCAATAAAGGAAATGATATGAGAGGAATGGATTTCCGTGACATAGAGCCATGCTTCCTGAAAAGAGGGTGGGTTTTTTTTCTTAGCTCCAAATACTACATTTTCTGTGATGGCCCAAGATGCAGCCAACAAAGCCAAGGTGCTGTGTTTTATTTCAGATGGGCAGCTGCAGTACCATTAATTCAATATTAGCATCGCTGTGTTTTGCAGAAGCTGCTGCCCGTCGTTATCTGCAGCGACTTTAGGATGAGGGGATGCTCGCTGCAGCTCTAGAGCTCCCCAAACAATGTCCTTCAGCTCCGTGTGGCTGAGGCTTTCCAGGATGTGAGCTTCAGATGGTGTTGAAAAGATATGTGTCGAGTTAAGTGAGAAGGTTTAAATACAGGGTGGCCTCTGAAATCAAGTACAGTAGCTAACTAGCAACAACGGCTAAACAACAGTCCAACCTTCCATAGCTCTCAGGTTTATGTTGGCTTTGCTGTAGCAACTCCTTATCTCTCCCGAGATTAGAGCATTTCAGATCAGTTGTTGTGAGATTTGGTGGAATCCATTTCCTGAGCTGTCACCGCTGGCTTTGGGAGAGTGGGAAAGCAAAACACCTTATCCTACAGTACTGAACGTGCTCTCTTTGCTTTTATCATTGCCAGATTTTAGATGCCTGTCCCAAGATACTGCCACAGAGAAGCCCACAACCTGAAACACAAACCACTGAACTGTGAGCACAGCAAATGTCATATGGGAGAAAAAAGGAGCCCTTTTACCATTTCTCCAAGTACTGGTAGCTGGCATAACCCTTCCCTGCTTACTGCTTACTGCGCAGATCCGCACTATGAACCTCAATTCCCCCATGAGTTAAAATGAGAGCGAGGATCCCAGGAAACTGAGACCCACACAGTTTGGGGACTGATGGGCTGAAACAGTGGAAGTGATTTGCTTTTGGCTTGCAGCAGTTGGCTGCTGCTTAGACAGACACGAAATAGTGTGACGCCATGCGAATACAACCTGCTCTCCACAATTTCACTTACGATTTTCACTTACTTTCTAACAATTCTGAAGTCATTCCTGCAGGGAAAGCAGGGATAAACCCAACCACAGTCGCTTTCCTTGCTGAAATCCCTCCTTTTCCTTTGGGATTTCTCTAGCTCACATCATTTCTCGTTCTCTTGCACTCCTCTGCCAATCGACAACTTACACCAGCTGCAAAGCTGGCCCAATAATATTGATTGCACGTCTTGTGCTTCCTCTGTCCACCCTAATTAGTGCATTAGAGATAAGCAACGTGCCCTGAGCAGCGAGCTAATGGCAGAGGGAGCAGGCTGTGCTTCGTGGGGCATGTGTCCTTCCTGACGGGGGCTGCCACACACGTTCCTCCATGACACTGCTCAGGGCAACACTAATGAGCTCCAGGACAGGCAAACAATTTAGACAAGGGCCTCAGTGAGCTCCCCAGAGTTGCATTAACCCCTGCACTTACTGCAAGAGAAAGGAGTAACTTCTAAGCCAGAGCTGTTGGCTGAGACGGACCCTGCTACACGCACACGGCAGCCTTCCAGGGACTGGGTAACAGCAGGGAAACTGGGAAACCATAGCACTGGGAAACAACAGCAATTTCCAACTCTGGGAAATAAACGAATTACACCTCTGTATCTGGTCTCAGCTCTTCCTCCATCAATAACCATCCCGCTTTTGCATCATTCTCTTGTTCTTGCATCATTCTTTTCCAGGAAGAAACCAGTGTCTTCACCGCTGGCACCAATGTCGTCTGGCCTAAAACCCCTGCCTAAAGTTAATAAAAGGAAGGGTTATCTGGCAGGCCCAGTGACCTAGTTGTTATCACCAATATTTGTAGTGTGGATTGGGATTCAGGACTCCCAGGTCTTTGGTTGTGCTTCATATGTGCTCTGCAAATGTTTTCAAACGCTTCATTACTTTTGTGTTGAGTTTCAGAGAGTAAAAATCTGTGACCTTGATGGGTTGGCTTTCCCAGGCACAGAAGATCTGGTTAGCTTGGCATGGATGGTGAGTGCTGGGCACTCTGCTGTGAACTCCTTTGCCTTGACTGGCCAGGGCAATGCGAGGCTTGCACTGGTGTGGACTCACCTCCACGGGCAATAGGCTCCTGGCTTGCTGGTGTTGAAGCCAGAAGAGGATGGGGAGCCAAGACATGGGGCAGGTCAAGCAAAAAGCACTCTAACTGCTTCAGCCCTACACAAGTGTCCTAAAAACCCACTGTAGATGCAACCACACTAAAGCTCCATCTCCACGTTGTGATGGGATGCTGGGGTGCTTTGTCCCGGCTGATGTTCCTGCACGCAATTTCTTAACAGCCTTACAAAATGAAAGGAAGACTCTGCTACATTTTTATTTTTGAAAGCCATCCTGCTTGCCATTATCAGTGAGGCTTTATATTTGACTGAGCAGAAGCGGGTCAGAGTGGATGACAGCAATTTAATCTGCTGTTGCTTTTCCATAACTTCTTGTGCTATCCTTGACCCTCAGCCAATGCCCTTCCACTGCCAGCTAGGGGAAAGATCCAACCTCATGGAGCTCATGAGTTTCTAAACCTGTATCCCAGGTCTTCTGCAAACTGTGAATGTGATTTATCCCCATTTCAGGTTACACAGCCTTCTTCACACTGGAGAGGAGGAACATAGTGAGGGAGCAGGATGTTCCCACTCCCCCACTGGGAACACCCCGGTGACAACACTCCAGTTTCCAGTGGACATTTGGCCTTTGACTCGTGGGCTCTGCCGGTAGCTGTTGTGGTGGGAACAACTGTCCATGGGGTGCTTGGCTGGTGTCCTGACTCCTTCTGGATTGGCATTTCCATGGAGGTCAGCACTTAACATCAGCACTGTTTTTTTTAGCGGGATCACAAAGGTGGATACATGCAAAGAGAACACTTGGCAGCATTAGAAAATCCATCCTCTGCGCCCCAGGAAGGGACACACAGGGTAAAAGTGTCAAGGAAAAGACTCAAAACCTGCACTGGCCCTAGGGATCGAGTGTGGGATGATCGAGGGATCATCCAGAGCACGCAGAGTGCCGGGGGAGCCCCTCCAGCTGCAGCCTGTGCTGCTCCTTGTTGGGGAGCTGAGGAAGGAAACAAGGCAACGCTGATGGGAAAAGGCAAAATTTACCTCTCACATGCTCAGAAAGCAGGTGCCAAGCTGATGCTTATCCTCATTTCTTCAATAAGAGGTCAAAGACTGGCCCCTGCCTCCCCGGCTGGTTTTAAAATGCACTGGTTTGGAAATAGCTCCCTGGATGCAGCAAACAGCGTTTGGGCCAGCTGATGAGATTAAAGGAACATTCCCCCCCCTGCCCCGTTCCCAGTTCCTGTTATCGGTACATTGTGTTAAGAGGGCCCAAATATCACATCGTGTTTTTACGCGTGATAAAGCAAATTTTCACAAGCGGCACCAGTGGCCGCTGACAGGGCTGGGGGTGTCGCTCCCGCCGGGCAGGGGGGCACAGGGGGACCTTCTGCACGGGGTGATGCCTGAAAAGAGAGAGGCTTTTTTTGAAGCTTCCCTCACGTGATGGGCTCCAGGGGCAAACAGGATGTTTCCCTCTCCTTGTGGTCTCCGCTTGGTGGATTTTTTCAGCGTGGTGCGTTCTCTGGTGCTTTGCTAAAGGTCGAGCACACCCTGGAGTCCTGCGGTGGCAGCACCACTGAGGTCCCTCTGCTCTGTCCCATTGCCTTGGAGTGAGGAAAATTGCACCCAAATTCCTATCACTCACCTGGTTTCTGTATTCGGCTGAACTTACAAGCCTTATTTCTTAGGAAACCAAGTTCCCAAATTCCTGCTGAGCACTTCTCTCTATGGGAGTCACCTACTGAGAAAACTCTTGTAAAGGAAAACAGCTAGAAGGGTAAACCACTCTCCATGTCTGTGGGGAGCTGCTGGCAATGGGAATGATCCCAGGAAAAAGCTGTCCCAGACGCAGCCTCTGGGCAGTATTCACCATGCAAGCACTCAGGGCATTTACCTGCTTGAGTAACTCAGAATTCCCAAACTTGCAGGGGTTTTGTGCTGGAGTAGAGGAACGTTTTCCTCCAGGGAGTGCTTATTCAGGCAGCTCCTGTCCCTGCTACCCCGGCTGCTTTGTCCTGCCCCCACGTTGGTCCTTGCTTCATCAGGATGCTCCTTTTTAGTGAGGCTATTTTTCCTCGGGGCTCATTTGACCAGCTGGCTTCGTAGCATCCCTGTGCTGCAGCAAGGTGGCAGGAAAACCCCGAGAAAGCAGGACAGTGGGGCCACCTCCAGGGAGGCTTTGGCTGAAAGTCCGAGGATGATTTTTCTCCCCACCTTAGTGAAGAGTTATTCACCCACGAAGTAGCACTTTGGCAGCCCCTTCTGCTTAAAAGCAGCCTGTTTGGGGGTATCTTTCAGCTCTCACGTAAAGGACAGATTGCATTACTCTCTCATTCCTGGGGAGAACAACTTGTTCTCGTGGCTTTTCTTGCCTTTGCAGCAAACACCCGAAATAATGGCCGGACACTTTCCCGCACGTCCACCTCGCCTCCCACAGCAACTTGCTATTCTCTGCAGGAGCCAGGCTAAAAAAGGAAAGTTACTATCATGCCAAAAAATGCAACTTTGATAAAATATGAGGGGATAAGTCAGCGTAAGTGTGACTGGCTGGGGATCCAAAGAGAATAATGCGGGAAGGATAATTTTACTTTCTTGCCTCTCACGCCTACCGAACGCCTGGATCCAACAAAGTGAATTCCTAACTAAATGCAGTAAATAACTAAGAAGAGAAAAACACATTTTTTGCTCTAACACAAAGAATATTAGACAGTGAGAGCAGGACTGAAATTATATATCCTAAAACTTGTTGTATTTTCACCCCGTAATGCATGGTTTAACAGTTTTAGATACATTCAGACCTGTGGTTTTAATTGCTCTAATTTGGAAAGCCACACGACATTAAAAGGAGAGGAACCTCCTCTGTATGTTTTGTGGGTTTTCCCACACACTCTCCCATCACTTTGAAGGGGATGCTCTCGTGTCCTCTGGCTGCTCAGTGGGAAGGTTAAGAGGGGTGAAAAACTGCCTTTTTGGCAGTTTCCAAGCCTACAGTACCCAGGACAGGGTTGAAAAGGATCTTTCTACAGGGTTTATTCTTTATTCTCTGACAGACAATCTCTTGTACTTTCATACGATACAAGTAGTTTCACACTTTCTAGGATACCCAGAATCGATGCTTAAAGCCTGCTGAGCTGAAAAGCAGCCACCAAACAACCCTCGGTGAGTTTATGACATCCTTTTGCAGCACAGAGGAACAGCAGCCCCTGCTTCAGGAAGAGGAGAGGCTTTCTCTGCTGCTCCTTCCCCACAAAGCTTCACGGCTTTGCTGCGAAAAGAGAGGGAGGAAGGAGATGTAGGTCGTGCATCAGTCAGTTTTCGGGGCTCTCATTTGTGGTGTCTCCAACAGAAGATCTGAAAGTGCATTAAATCCCGAGTGGGACTTGAGTACTGCCAGTCTTCAGCTGCATCTCCCCTCAGGGATGAAAAGGGTGCAAAGTTTCCACGTGTCTGGGCAGATCTGTGCTTTTCTGTCTCTGGAAAAAGCTCACATTTTTAAAAAAAAAAGGAAAAGCCTCCTTATCTTATGGCACCCAACAGCAATATCAGCTCATATGATGCTCGTGTCGCTCCCTGAGGCCATTCACTCCCCCCGTGCACGTAGGAATCTCCAGCCCACCTGACCTCTATCGGGAAGCCTTATCTTTTAAATATGACCACTGTAAACACTCCAAATTTTAATGGGCAGAATATCTTCAAAGAAGCTACTCTGATCTTCAGAAGCAGTCATGGTTTGATAGAGGTTGTTGTGCCTATCTATCTGCAGCGGAAGCGGAGGAATGTGCAGTTTATACTAAAATAACGTGCACTTGTCCTAATCATGGAGACTTCTGAGCCTCAGCCAAGACTTTTCACGTCATTACAGCCTCCTGCGGGCTGTGAAGGAACTACTTGCCTCTTCACACTTTTGATCTTTGCAGAAAGGAGCGTGTGGCATTTCCAGCCCAGATGTTCACGAGGTTCCTCCTAGACCCGATGAAGAAATTTCTCCCTAAATGGCTCCTGAGCCTCATGCCCAGATTAGTAATGAGTTCCTTGTAAACGTAAAAAATTAAATAAACACTGAAGCAGCTCTGCCAAGATCGTCTGAATTCACAAAAAAGAATCATGAATTGCTCTCAAATGTTGGCAGGAAAAATGCATCTTGCAGGCACTTTGGAAACCTCTTGATTTGAGTGTTGGGAAGCTGTGAGTCCCAGAGGTGGATGGTGGGACCTTTGACTTGTGACACAGCGTTAGTGGTGCTTGAAAGAGACTTTGAGGCAAGAAATGTGTCATCTCAGGATGCTGTAGCGTGTGGGACATGCGGGTTATGGGGAAGGGGAGGTCTGTATAGCTCATAGCTCGGCTTTGAAGGTGTTAGGTCACCTCCACCACCTGATGGAGGCCACGATGTCCTCCTTGGGGGCTCTTCTCTGTGACACACATCCCTCTGCAGGGCTGTGGAGCTCTGCACCAGCAGGTTCAGCCCCGCTGGTCCAGTGCAGAGGGGTTACATGAGCCTCACTGGGATTTTAAATTACCACATTTCAGGTTTCAAATATTTTAATCAGATTTGATCATTGCAAGAGCAAAGGACCTTGGCTGTGGGTCCTTTGGAAGGTGCTATGATTTTGCAGTAGCCCCACGCAGTAACCCTCTGAAGGTCTCCAAGAAAATGTAATGCCCTGGTGTGAAGGTTTGTGGGCCAGACAGTGAGGAGCTGTGTAATCTCTGGGGACCTATGGAAAGGAAAACCACCTGCAGTCAGAGCCTGTAGGTCCAATGAGCGCTTTATGGGTTGGACTCTTAAATGTATCTCAGCTTTCATAAATCTCTCCTTTACCGGTCCTTTATATCCACAGCTGAGGGAAGGTGGATCCAATAGACCAAACTGAATATAAGGTTGCAACTAAGGAGCCTGGGCTCAGTTTAAGGCTACACAAGCCCTCCCCCAGCAAGGTTGATAGCAGCAAGTGCTATACACCCAATATTTTTTATTCTCTAATAACATTTTCCTGCTCCTATCTTCCCTTTTTTCCTACAGTTTCCTCTGTGTCCCTTTCTCTCACCAGTTCATTCTTCTTTTCAGGCTCTGCCAAGCAGGTCTGCAGCCTCTCTTGTGCTGGACTTTGCTGTCACCCAAGCCACGTCCTCAGTAGCAGAAATCCAATTAACATCCCCACGGCTGGCACAGAGACCTGTGGTGTCTTGCTTGAGAAGTCCTGCAGATCTCTTTGCTTTTCCCTTTTCTGTCCCTTTGAAGGCTCCAGGAGGGGCTGAGGCTGGGGCAGTGGTGTCCCCCCTTCTTAACGTAAAGGAGGAGTGAAAGGTTTTCTTGCAGAATCTGGTGATTTTCTTCCCTTCAGCGGCGTCGTGGTGCTGCTGGAAGGGTGACTTGCTGGCAGGAAGCAGGAGAACAAGCAGAGAAGTTTACAAATAGCCACAGGGACACAAGGAGACCTTTGGGTGCAGTTAGTCCTCATGCTGGTGGCAGCAAGTGGCCGGGAGAGACCCAGCATCACCGTTGAAGTGCAGACCCAGGTTTCCACCAAAGTGGCTGAGGAGATCCCGTTCTATGCTGATGAAATGAAGAAAAATGAGAGTGGAGGCGGTAAATAAGTCCAGATTTGTTATTCTTTGAAAACGGTCTGTGAGAGAAAACGCAGAAGCCTCATTTTCTGTATGGAATAAAGCTGCTGGTGGACTCCCTCTGCACAGAGAGCTCCCTGTACGTGAAAGCCCTCTCCAAAGCCTCAGCAGCAGCTCTGCTGGAATTATATACACATGGCTATAAGGAACAGCGACTTAAAATAACTGAACAGCCACTTAATTAAAGAGGTTTCTAGGATATTGTGATTTTATACCTGGAGCCTTGATATCGCTGGGTCTGGCACAGCACCGTGCGTGATGCTGCATGAGATCTCTTCTCAGTGACCCGAGGGGCTGTCTGGGCTTCTCTTGCTCTATAAGAGCAATAATCCACGGGATGTATTAATGTGAACGTCTCAACCGTGGTGCTGACAGCATTTGCAGCCCACCATCCAGGCACACTGTGACGGGCTGTGCCACCTCAGGGATTTTCCGTCGCCCCAGATCCAGGATTTAAGGACTTTTTGTTCCGCTCAGAAGCGCTGTGGGTATCTCCAGCAAGGAGCCAGCTGGCTGGCAGGAGGGATGCTTGCTGGTTTAGTTCTGTGAAGGCATAATGTGTCCTTAACCTGAACTCCTGAGTGCAAGATATTCTGATTGAGCAGCAAGAAGTATTGGCCTGTTCTACAGGGAACTGGAGCAGCTGAAAGAGGAGTTGAAGAAAACACCAAAAAAAAAGCTAAATAATATTTTTGAAATTTCCTGTTTCAAAGCATAAACCAGCCTCTAGCTCCTGGGCTCCTTCCTCCAAACTAACCCACGGTCAGTAGCAGAACATGGGATGATAGAGGTCCCTGGCTCTGAACCTGCTTGGCAATTCCAGTGGATTCATGCAGCTGCATTTCCTGTCTGTGCACAGCTCGGTGTCTTCTCCTAGTTGGTTTTAACATCAGTTTTGCTTGTTAGCTAAATAGCTAATTTTTTAATCTTCTCCTCAAGCATCTTGTTTTTCTTCTCCATGTCCTCCCGTAAGCGCTCCATGTTCATCAGCTTCAGCTCCAGTTCCTCAGACTTCTTCTTCTCCTTCTCAATGTCATGGTTCAGCCTCACCACTTTGGCCCAGACTTCATAGTTTTCCTCCTCAAGACTGCAAAGAGAAACGGAGTGTGAAAGGATGGGATCAGAAGAGTGCCAGGAAGTCATCATTTGGCTCTTGAGGAGTCTGCCCTCTGTGTCATTAAGCAATAAAATAAGCCAGAGGTTCTGTCCTGATCCCCCAACCCTCAATGGCCACAAAACACGATGGAATAAATCAATATACTTGATATATAATAATATGATAACAATATGTGAAGCTATAGTAGCACTAATAATGTTAGTTGATAGTTAGTCGATGTTAGTTAATGCTACTGCTGAATTCTGGATGGTGTAATGGTACAATATTGTAGTAATAACAAATTGTGACAGTGTAATTATTGCAGAAACATTTTAGTGCCATACAGTGATGTAATAAGGACTATAGAGTATTAATATTGTAGTAATATAAGATTAGCAACTATGTCAGGAGAGTATAGCACATGAGTATTGATTTTTAGATAGTCTATAATATATAGTCTATACTATAAGACTGTATTTTATCATTAGTCATTACTATTATACACTGCTAAATAAATCTCTGCAATACCAGCGTTGTGATAACAGGACCTGAAGACCTCGTAGTCTCCAGAAAGCAGCACTCTGTCACGTGTTACCTTTTAATTTGTTCCTCGTATTCATTTTTCTGTACCTCCTTTTCTTTCTCCAGCTTCAAGATCATGTTTTGCAGGAACTCCTTGCTCTCCTGGTGGGGCTGGGAGCCCTCGGCCGGGCTGCTGGTGGGACTGGCAGCTTCCTGGGGCTGATGGCTGGGGCTGGGGCAGGGCAGAAACTCCTTGTCAGAGCTGCTGCTCGAGGGGCTGGGGCTGCAGCCAGTGCCTTCCCCACTTTCCGCCTGGGAGGCAGGGACGTTATCGTAGGTTGAAGCCCGGTGGAGGTCGAGCAGCTTAAAAAGATCATGAGACAACGTTCTCTTATGCCCCTCGGGGACCACGGGGCGCGTGCTGCTCCCAGGGGAGCTCCTCCAAAAGTCACTGGCAAATACGTCGTTTTTGTCGTTGCTGCCTTTCTCCCCCGGCGAAGCAGCCGTCAGGAAAGATTTCCTGTTAGGTAGAGTCTGAGTTCTTTTCCTGGACTGCGTTTTCCACATTCCCAGGGTATCTTTGCCCCCATTATCTTGGCTGGCTGCACTCGAGCTCGCGGCTGCTCCGGGGGCACTGCTGGAACCCGGGTCATCTCTCTGTAAAACAGACGGTGTCAGGAGAGCCTGGTCCTGCTCCGTCAGCAGAGAGAGGCTCCAGGAGCTACAAAAGGCACATCTTAACATGCCAAGGGGAATGGCCCCAGGTTTCCCATTAAAAAGAACCTCTTTGCAGAGATTCTTTCTTTCTGAGAAAAGCCTTTAATCTGCAATGTTTTCACCTCACCAGTATGACCTGCCTTTGACTAAAAAACTTTAGTAGGAGTTTTCGTTTTTCCCAGAACAGTAGATTTTCCACAGGAAAGTGGGAAGTTTATCTACGTTGTTTTCCTGACATAGTTACTCCAGGGATGACAGTTACAGCTCTTTACCCTACTCATAGCGAGTGCTGTGTCTTTCTGACCTGTGAGACCCCATAATAATTAATCGCCCATTTATTAAATTTATGCTGTATTATTTCTCTGAGGATCCAGCCTTACCATTTGCCTTTGGATCAAGCTCTCTGCCCTGGACACTGCAGGATCCTCTGCCGCGTCCCAGCCCACGGAGCTGCGTGGGATGGGGGTTTTCTTGTCATTTTTGTTGGCAGGGGGGGAGGGTGGCACATCCTTGGAGGGGGGAAAGAGGACAGCATGGTCACTTATCATCACAGTCATCACTTTCTGGATCTGTGGGGTGCCTGGAAGAATATTAGAGATGTGTCAGCCGCAAACCCAATGTGATGGGCTTTCTTCCACCCACACTTGCATCTTCTGGTTGGTCTTTCCAGTGGCCAAACTGGAGATACATGTAGAAATGCAGGTGGAGTCAAGGAGCGTGATCATTAAACCAGATAAATGGAGGGATTTTTATATCACCCCAGAACAGCAGGAGCAAACTATGGAGCAACCAGGACGAGAGTCTGCTCAGCTGCACCAAGCCACAAATTGTGCTGCTTTGGCTCAACAAGCAAACTCCAGGTATCAGTTGTACAAACAGAGCAAACAGAGCAGTTGTTGGCCTTAAAATATTTCTTCTATTAGTTCTGTTGCATCTGCCCTTGCCCGTGGGATTACAGTTTGGCTCAGCTAAACAGTAATTTCTTTGAGTTCCCTTGCCCGTGGGATTACAGTTTGGCTCAGATAAACAGTAATTTCTTTGAGTTTCCTTTCAGAGAATCATAGAGTCATAGAATCATTCAGGTTGGAAGAGACCCTTGGGATCATCGAGTCCAACCATCTCCCCTACTCTACAAAGTCCTCCCCTACACCATGTCCCTCAGCACTGCATCTAAACGTCCCTTAAACACATCCAGGGATGGGGACTCCCCCCCCTCCCTGGGCAGCCTGTTCCAATGCCCGACCACTCTTTGGGTGAAAAATTCCTTCCTAATGTTCAATCTAAACCTGCCCTGTTGGAGCTTGAAGCCGTTCCCTCTTGTTCTGTCGTTAATTACCTGTGAGAAGAGACCAGCACCAACCTCTCTACAGTGTCCTTTCAAGTAGTTGTAGAGAGTGATGAGGTCTCCCCTCAGCCTCCTCTTCCTCATACTAAACAGTCCCCTCTGTTTCTCTATGAAAAATTTTACACCTCCCTGCTCTAAGCAAAAGAAAGATGACTTCACTGAATTCCTGAAATATTTGAAATCTATGGAGGGAACCCAGAGTGGAACTCCTAAGGGGTGTTTGTCTCCTTACCACATCTATAGCCTAGCTAATGCGTGGCTTTACTCTGCCCTGCTGCACTTAGTGTGCCCAGGCACGCGTCTGCCTTGTACCCGTGGTCTACAGTAGAAAATTTTTAATGTCAAGATTGTGGATGCAGCTGAGTGTTTCAGCAGATCGGGTGCTCCAGTGCCAGTAATTCCAGGAGCCCCTTTTACCTCTCATAATAATTGCAGGATCCTCTATCTTGGGTCTGATGAGGTTCACTCCAATCACTGTTGCCAGGTTATCCACGCTCATCTTGTTGATGCTAGAGTTCAACTGTATTTCATGTAGGAACCTGCCAGAATCCAAGGGCAAATATTTCAATTCAGAGAAGAAAGGCTGCAAAAAGCTTTACACACCCACTGGCATAAAATCCTGATTAATCCGTCCAGCTCCTCCTTTGAGTCCCAAGGAAACATATAGTTGCCTTATAACTGCAAGCTGGAGCTAGGTCTTACTGGTGTCAGTAGAAACACCACCATGTGATGAGCTGTTCACCCAAAAAAAAATCAAAAGGGAAGGGAAAAACCCCATCTAGTATGTAATAACTGTGGGGAAATCACCCAGGCTGGGTGAAACCTTACAGTTTTGTTGCATGGGTCTAGAAAAATTACACTTGATTTTAATTCTCAGGGACCCATAAGTGAATTTTTTGGTAGATATTTATGCTCAGACATCATCAAGATGTTTAGCTGCGTGGCTGAAATTCTCCCCTTACAAAAGTCAGGATCTGGTGCCTTGAGGAGAACCAAAACACAGTTTCAGAGGGCTCTCTCTAGAGGAGTCAGCCTCAGCCCATGGGATGATATTTCTACTCACCAACACCAAATCTGAGCTGTTTGTGCAGAGGACTGACCTGCAGATATAGCTGAGGAGGTTGTAGTTGTCTCTGGGAAGGAGGGACAGTTGATTCAGGAGTTCCTGATGGCCCTAAATGCAAGTTAAGAAACACCTCTATGAAGAGTCACAGATCTATTACGGAGTCAAGAGTCGCTCTTGGTCACTCCATCCATCCCTGCATGGTCTCACCTCTTGGTATTTGCTCACTTTGGAAGTTACATTTCTCTGGCAGCCCAGGCGTGGGCAGGGAGAAGCTTTTGCACAGATCTCAGGAAAAGGAGGCTCCACCACGGCCACAGCAGCAAAGCAGAGAGCAGGGTCCCCCCCAGCCCAGCACGTGTGTGATGAGCTCTTCGGAAAGACCTGATCATGCCTAAACTCCTTCCATTGCTTCTATATCAACAGTTAGGACGTTTTTAGCCCCAAGGATCCTGAAGTGAGACAACCTCCAAGAAGCACTTGCCCTTGAAATATCAGGCTGAACTGCGGTTCATGGAGCTCATGCTACTGAGGACATCTGCCTTATTTTTGTGTGTATAGGAACAGCATCCCTGAGTGGGGTTTTTTGCAGTAGGAAAGCTTCTTTTCCACTAAAATATATAGTTAGGAAAAGAGAGTTCGTGCTTATTTCTCACTTCTCCCTCTCCCAAATCCCCGCTTCCTTCCTTGCTCTCACCCGGAGCCTCCCCCAGCTCCCCTCTCGCCTCGGGCCGATGGAGGCTGCAGGAGGTTGGGTTTCCTTCCTCTCTTGGTTTTTCACACTCACACTTTGCTGCAAGGGCTCGACAAAAAGAGGTGCAGAGCAGCTCTCAGACCTGCTCCAGAAATTTAAGCTTTAAAGTGGATAAACCCATGTTGTCAAGTTGGGAAACCTCACTGACTTTGGGAGATTTTATCCTCTTAATTTTTTTTTTCTGATTTTTTCTGCTTTTGAAGATCAGCAATGCACAGCTCTGTATGCACCCGGCATCTCCAGCTCGCAAAGCCCCAGCTTTGCTGAAACACAGCTAATTTCCAGGCCAAAAGGAGGGGAATGAACATGTCTCTACCTTTTTCTCATCCGCTTCCAGCGCCTGACCGCACAGCAGAAAATCCTCATACTGCATCCAGGGCACCACGGGCTCGGGGAGCTCCCGCAGGTAGAGCTTGAACAGAGAGGCCACGGTGTGCACATCCGTGTCCCTGCAAAGCACAAAGAGCCACTGGTGTTAAAACCCACACCAGCTTCTGAGCAAACCCTGCCCCACACCAAGACACACCACACCAAGACACCAAGAGAGGGAATGGCTTCAAGCTCCAACAGGGCAGGTTTAGATTGAACATTAGGAAGGAATTTTTCACCGAAAGAGTGATGGGGCATTGGAACAGGCTGCCCAGGGAGGGGGGGGAGTCCCCATCCCTGGATGTGTTTAAGGGCCGTTTAGATGCAGTGCTGAGGGACATGGTGTAGGGGAGGCCTTTGTAGAGTAGGGGAGATGGGGGGCCTCGATGATCCCAAGGGTCTCTTCCAACCTAGACCATTCTATGATTCTAAGACGGCGTTTAAGATCTGTGTATAGATGCGAGAGAGAGAAATAGATAAATGGGATGGGACAAACCACGCTGGGGGGAATCCATAGAGCACCCCGAGCCTGGGAAGGGTCCTGCCTGGCAGGAAAATAAATGCTGGGTGGAGATTTTCCCCAGCATTGAGGTGGTAGGTCCCCAGTGCTCATACCCTGAGCCTTCCCAGCCCGTGTTTGCCTCCGGAGGGTTTGCAAACCCTGGTGTTCCCGCGTTTGGCAGGCGCTCCCCGCTCCCCAGAGCTGCCGAAGCTCGCCGGGGGTTTTTAAGATTAACAGCAATTACTGAAGATGTTCTGCCGGGACAGATGTTTGCAGCTTTGCATACCATGTAGTTTACATTATGTCAAAAGGACACTGTCAAGATTGTAAGCCTCTAATTTGACCTACCTTGAAGTTGCTAAACTCTTATAAACTTCTAGCGAAAATCCCCCAGGTCATTTATTTTTAGGATTGGTTGGGGTTTTTAAAATACTGCTACTTTTAACAAATGCACATAGCCATAGAGGGATTTTTTCAGAGCTTTGTTTTTGTAGGGCCTATTGATACACCCCATTAGGCATCCTGGATGCTAGGGGAGCTAGGGGAGCTCCCTAACGCTCCCCGCTCCCTCCCGCCCTGCTCGTGCTGAAAATACTGCTACTTTTAACAAATGCACATAACCATAGAGGAATTTTTTCAGAGCTGTGTTTTTGTAGGGCCTATCGATACACCCCATTAGGCATCCTGGATGGCAGCTCCCTACCACTCCCTGCTCCCTCCTGCCCTGCTCGTGCTCGCAAGTGTGTCTGTGCAAACCCAAACCAGCTGTGAAGGTGGTACTGAAGGTCGAGCCAGCATCTTGCTGCATTCAGGTCACTGGAAACCCCAATTATTGGCCTTCCTCCTTGCTAAAAAAAGGTTCTGGTTGGAGCACAGGGGGGTTGCAGTCGCCCTGAGCTCACCACAGCAAGGCTTGTACCAAACCCTGTAACCAAATGGGGTTAACATCACAGGGGGCTGGGAAAGGGGCCAGGCTCCCTTCCCATGCCCCGCTGCAAAAAACACTTCTGGGGAAAAAAAAAAATAATAATAATAAAGGCTTCACCTTCCTATGACCCCCCCACAGGTTACAACAGGAAAGCTCTCAGCAGGAATCGCACCCAGAAAGCAGGAAACGCTCAGCTGTAAAACCAACAGCCCGGATGGTCACGCCTCTGGAGCAGCTGTGACCCTGCCTGGCACAGCACAGGGATTATTTTGGGAAAAGTGCTGTGGTTTTTCCTAACCAAGTTGCATAAAGTTAGGTAAAAATAGGAAAAGTTACGTGGTTAGGGCCAGGGCTGTGAATACAGAGGTGAGACCCCTCCGCTCCGCTCAGGGGAACTGTTCTGCACAAAAGTCCAGGGAAGCTCCTGGGTTTGGGTGCTCCCTTCCGACAAGCATCCCAGATAGTGCTGGCAGCTCTCAGAAAATAAAAACAAATACATACAAATAAAGGCTTCACCTTCCTCCAGGTGATGCCCCATCTCTGCAGACCCAGGGAGCTGCCCCATGTGGCACCATCACAGCCAGTGGCAAACACCTTCATACACACACCGCAGCCTGGGCGCTCCTGGTCTCCGTTATGGTGGACAGGGCACCTTCCTATGACCCCCCCACAGGTTACAACAGGAAAGCTCTCAGCAGGAATCGCACCCAGAAAGCAGGAAACGCTCAGCTGTAAAACCAACAGCCCGGATGGTCACGCCTCTGGAGCAGCTGTGACCCTGCCTGGCACAGCACAGGGATTATTTTGGGAAAAGTGCTGTGGTTTTTCCTAACCAAGTTGCATAAAGTTAGGTAAAAATAGGAAAAGTTACGTGGTTAGGGCCAGGGCTGTGAATACAGGGGTGAGACCCCTCCTCTCCGCTCAGGGGAACTGTTCTGCACAAAAGTCCAGGGAAACTCCTGGGTTTGGGTGCTCCCTTCCCACAAGCATCCCAGGTAGTGCCGGCAACTCTCAGAAAGTAAAAATAAATACCTAAAAATAAAGGCTTCACCTTCCTCCAGGTGATGCCCCATCTCTGCAGACCCAGGGAGCTGCCCCATGTGGCACCATCACGGCCAGTGGCAAACACCTTCATACACACACTGCAACCTGGGCGCTCCTGGTCTCCCTTGTGGTGGAGAGGGGAGGGCAGGAATTAAACCAAAAAGGCTCACTTTGGGTGCCATGAAAAGGCAGGACCCACTTTTCCTTTATTCCAGCACAGGGGTCGTTACTTGCCCCCACGCAAACTGTCCCGTAAAGCCCCAGAGCAGCCTGCACCGGTGAGCAGGGGACACGGGGCAATGCTCTACACAACTGGGGCCAAAAACAAGGGGGTAAATCTGACCTGGGGGTGGGGAGAGGTGGGAAACCTCTTTATAGAGAGCATGAGGGGCAGCTGGTCTGTGGGCTGTCTCGGGGGGGCTTTATAGAGAGTTGCACCACGGGTCTAGCTTTTTTCCTCTCATTTTGCAGAGGCAGTGGGAGCAAATCTCTTTCTCCAAAGCCTCTCCGGGACCCACATGCAGCTCTCCCAGCTTTAGGGAGTTTGCTGTTTCCTCTTAGCCCCACAGAGGAAGGGGGTCAGGAGGACACAGCCTTGCAGCAGCCAAAATCTCTCTCTCCTCTCTATATGGTGTTGTAGGGAAAAGAAACAGGAGGAAAAGATCATGGCCATGGGCTGGCAGGGAAAGAAAGAACCTCTGCTGTGTGCATTGGGCTGTTCTTTGAGATTATTTGTGATCCTCTACTTGCTCTCCCTTCTCTAAACCTCTACCCGTAGCTGATGGGCATTTCTTCTGCCTCCTTCCTTGGCTGCTCCTGCAAATGGTAATCTCTGCGTGGGGCCGGGATTTTCCTAAATGCTTTCCTTTATTTCCGTGAATCTCAATTCAGAACCCTCTGATTCTGCTTTTGCCTCCATTTGGGGTTTCTGCGGAATCATCTCGCATTGCCAAGCCCTTCTGGAGGGTCCAAGTTTTCTGCAGGGGGTCTGCAGACTGCTGGGGTCTCTGGGGTGTTAGACAGGCTGTTTTTACCCAGATTTTGGTGTGGATGAGACCTAGCTGAGTAGGAGAGAGGGAGCCCAGCATTACCTGTCGAACGATGGCCTTTCCCCAGCGTCGAACGCATCCCTGAGCTGTTTCACCAGGTTGTCTTGGCCAGGGAGGCGGAAGATGCCCTCCTCGCTCACGCCGTGCTCCCGGATGAACTCGGCACACTTCTGCACCAGGATGGGCACCTGGTGCTGCCCAAACTTCTGCTCATAGGCCATGGTAACTGCCAAGCGCTGGCCGAACACCGCTAGGGAGAGAGCAGAGAGGTCAGAGGAGCCCGAAAGCTTTGCTAAAGGCACATCAAGTGCAAATGTGCCAGCAGGACCCGCTTTCCTGCTAGCACAGGAGCCACAAGAGGTCTGCAAACTAAGGGAAAGCAGAACTTCTTCCAAAGAAATAATAGCAAAAAGTGAAACCTTTTTTCTCCTCTGAATAATAAACAGTTACTGAACTCACAGAATCACAGAATCACATTGGGTTGGAAGGGACCTCTGGAGATGACCCAGTCCAACCCCCTGCCAGAGCAGGGCCACCCAGAGCAGGTCCCACAGGAACGTGTCCAGGTGGGGTTTGAATGTCTCCAGAGAAGGAGACCCCACCACCTCCCTGGGCAGCCTCTTCCAGGGCTCTGTCACCCTCAAAAGAAAGAAGATCCTCCTCATGTTTAGGTGGAACTTCTTACCTTCAAGTTTGTGCCCATTTCCTCTTGTCCTGTCCCTGGGCACCACTGAAAAAAGACCGGCCCCATCCTCCTGACACCCACCCTTGAAGTATTTAGAGGCGTTTATCAGATCCCCCCTCAGCCTTCTCTTCTCCAGACTAAAAAGACCCAAGTCCCTCAGCCTCTCCTCCTAAGAGAGATGCTCCAGGCCCCTCAGCATCTCTGTAGCCTCTGCTGTCCCCTCTCCAGCAGTTCCCTGTCCTTCTGGAACTGGGGAGCCCACAACTGGTCCCAGTGCTCCAGATGGGGCCTCCCCAGGGCAGAGCAGAGGGGCAGGATGACCTCCCTCCACCTGCTGGTCACACACTTCCTGATGCCCCCCAGGATGCCCTTGGCCTTCTTGGCCACAAGGGCAGATTGTTCTCAAAATGGTGACAGCCAAGCAGTGAGCTTGGTCCTGTGCCACCCCGCTTGCCTGCCTGGGAGCAGGGAGACAGGAACAGTTTTTTGCTGTTGTGAGGGCACACGGAGAGAAGGCAAGCTCACCACACACACCTGAGGGTTATAGAAAGCACAGGAGATCACCAGGAAATAAGAAAAGCAGCCTTGCAGAGTTTGGGAGCTGGAACTCTTACTGATTTAGTTGCTTTTCTTCCCCCTCCCTTCTCCTCTCACCCTCCAGAAACTCCCCTGTGCAAAGAGCCGCAGGATTTTGCACCAGGCAGTACCTTTCCTTTGGAGAAATGGCTTTTTCCTCCTGAACTCGCAGCAGAAGAAGAGCTCGAAGGCGGGAGGGCAGCAGCCTGCATCCCAGCTCTTCCTCCTCGGAGCCTGGGGCATGGTGAGAGCAGACAAATCCCAACTGGAGCTGGCTCTGGGACATTAATGGCAAAGGGTCCTATGGTCCTCTACCATATTTTTGTCCCTGTAGCATCTGCAATGTGTTCACCTCCTGCTCTGAAGGCTGAAATAATTCCTCTGCATCTTCCAGACCAGGAAAATGCACGAAAACACTCTCATCTGGAACCAGGGGCTTGTCAGCACCTGCCTGATCGTGGAGGGTTTTCATTTATGACTCATTTACAGTTTTAAATAATGGATATAAATCTGTCATTGTGCATGGTAAAAGCAAATAGCGCTCTTTTCTTTTTTTTCCCCACCCTGCTCTGCTTTGGTAGCTGCGAATGAATTGCTTATTTAACTGCAAGCTGGCAGATGTGTGAATTTGGGGGTACCTCCCCAGGGCCATGTCCCTGCCAGCCCCCCCGGGGGGCGGCTGTCATTATAGGGTGGCAACCAACCCCCAAAACCCCTCGGGGATTTTGGAGACCCTTTTGCTATTGCTTTGTGCTTTGCAGCCACTGTGCTTTTTGGTGTGGAAGAGGCTCACAATGAGCTGTGTCACACAGGGCTGCTTCCAGGGGGGCTTCTGCCAAAACCCCCACTCTGCTGTGGGTTGCTTCAAAAGCATACATTGCCTCAGCTTGCATGGAGGCCAAAAACTGAAAGCGTGAAGTTTTGGGGTCTGTTAACCTGTGTATTGACATAAAATGAAGCTCCAGGGTACCTGACCTCTCTGCTACCTGTCATTTAAGGTCTGCTTTCTGTCATATAAGGTCACTTTATCCAGCTGGAAGAAACTAGCAGCCTCCTAAGTTTAAGCGAGGATCAGATGCAGTTGTTATTGTTGTTATTAAATATTAGACCCAGGTGGGGCAATGCCCTGAAAAATTTCTGGCTCATGCAATCTTAATTTCAGATGAGTGCGGGCCCCAGGGCACAGCATCTTGCAGTTTAGAGGCAGAAAACACCAGGGTTGCCGACAAAAAAACAGTGGTGGTGTTATTTAGGTGGAGTTTATCTGTGCCTAGGGCAGGGTCACCACGAGAGAGCTCAAACTGGCACCATCTGCTTGCAGTGATTTACAGTAACACAGGAGCTATGGGACACCAGAGCTCCATCCTGCCTGTCTTACCCAGCTGAAGGGCATGGACCCTGTAAAAATTACAAAAAATAGTGGTGGCAAAGCACAAATGTAGGGAGAAGAGCCTCAGGATGACCATCCGGGTTAGTGCTTTTTTGGAAGAGAACAAAAGAGACTCCCAGCCCTGTTTTCATCAGTGGATCTTGCTTAGAGTAGTTCATCCTGGAAGAAATTTTTTACTATGAGGGTGGTGAGACACTGGAACAGGTTGCCCAGGGAAGTTGTGGATGCCCCATCCCTGGAGGGGTTCAAGGCCAGGCTGGATGGGGCTTTGAGCAACCTGCTCTGGTGGGAGGTGTCCCTGCCCAGGGCAGGGGGGTTGGAACTACATGATCTTTAAGATCCCTTCCAACCCAACCCATTCTGTGATTCTATGATCCTTATAGTAAACATCTGGATGGTGCATCCTTGCAGGAAAAGTGGCTGGAGTCACCTTTGCTGTTTCCTTTGTGGGCTTCGCCTGTGGTGGCAAAGTTCCGGTGCGTTCCTCTCTGGTCGATTCATGTTTTACACTTCCCTGGCCACAATTTTGCAATGGCATAAATAAATGCACACCCCAAGGGGCTGGAAGCACGGATCCTGTCCCACAAGCCCTGCCTGTGCCCGGGGAGGGTGATTGCGTGGCCAAGGCAGGCTCTGCAGAGAAAATAGGGGCAGAAGCACTGCGCTGAGCAGGAAAAGCTGGAAGCAAAGCAAAGCTAGGAAATTAGCAGGTGAAAGGCAAGCTTTTCCAATGTTTTATCCCTGAATACAAGTTGTTTTCAAGAACGACATTTTCTGGGGTCAGGAAGTCAAAGAGGAAGTTTGCAAAAGAGCCTGAAACCAGCCCAAAAACCTTCATTCATGCTTGGCTGCCGTTTCCTTAACACTCCCCATGTTTGCAGCAGCCCTGGCGCCGCAGGGGCTGCCCTAGGAGGAGGTTTCTGAGTTGTCACACGTTACAGTCACTATAGCTCCCTTTTCCAGTGTCAAGGATTTATGAGACCAGCTTTGAAATCCTGGCACAAAAGCCCTGCAGAGAAGGAGATGGTAGGAAACAGCCTTTCCCGTTCTGCTTTACCTCCTGACGACGACCCCAGCACTCGCCGGATGGATTTAACCCATTCCTCCATCTCAGACTGGGAATTAGCCATGAGCACGCAGGTGTCCTGCCCTGTCCGGTTCTGGTCTCCAGAGACCCCTGCAAAAAGAAAACATAAGCATGAGGATAGGGAGGCTCCACCAAGAGACTTAGATAGATTGGATGGATGGGCCAACTTTAGTGGTATGAGCTTCAACAAGACCAAGTGCCAGGTCCTGCACTTGGGCCACAACAACCCCCTGCATCAGTACAGGCTGGGGGAAGTGTGGCTGGAGCTGCCTGGAGGAAAAGAACCTGGGGGTTCTAATTGACAAGTGGCTGAAAATGAGGCAGCCGTGTGCCCAGGGGGGCAAGAAAGCCAACGGCATCCTGGCTTGGATTAGAACTAGTGTGACCAGCAGAAGTAGGGAGGTGCTTGTCCCCCTGTACTCAGCACTGGGGAGGCCACACCTGGAGTGTTGGGTCCAGTTTTGGGCACCTCAATCCAAGAGAGATCTGGAGGTGCTGGAGCGGGTGCAGAGGAGGGCAACGAAGGTGGGGAAGGGCCTGGAGAACAAATCATATGAGGAGCAGTTGAAGGAGCTGGGACTGTTTAGTATGAGGAAGAGGAGGCTGAGGGGAGACCTCATCACTCTCTACACCTACTTGAAAGGACACTGTAGAGAGGTTGGTGCTGGTCTCTTCTCCCAGGTAATTACTGACCGTACGAGAGGGAACGGCTTCAAGCTACAACAGGGGAGGTTTAGCTCTTTTTCACAGCAAGAGTGGTCAGAGACTGGAACAGGCTGCCCAGGGAGGGGGTTGAGGCCCCATCCCTGGATGTGTTTAAGAGCCGTTTAGATGTGGGATTTGGGGATATGGTGTAGGGGAGAACTTTGTAGAGTCGGGTAGATGGTTGGACTCCATGATCCCAAGGCTCTTTTCCAACCTGAATGATTCTATTATTCTATTTAAGCATCATTTATAGAGAGGATTGGAGGAGAAAAGACACACCCCTGTTGTTTTCTCTGCTAAAGACTTTTTGGCTCCAAAGTTCCCCATTAATATCTATCTGGCTGTGAAATGAAGCAGGGTTTTTACATTCCCCCTTGCTGAAGGTCTGCAAGAAGGGAACAGAAACTGCTTCACGCTGCAGCCTGGCCCTCCCACGGGCACTGACCCAGCGCCCTCCTCCAGCCCTGACATCTGAATATCGAAAGCAAGACACTTGTTTTCACACGCAACGCAGGGCAGTGGGGACCTTGAAAAGGACTGGGAGCAAAAGGGCTGCCAGAACGACTTGCCCAAAATGGTTTGGGGTGGACAGTCCAGCCCAAAAGTGGGTGATGAAGAGGAGGGAAGTGTCCTCACCTGGGATGATTTCGAAGATAAATTTCCCTCCTTCCTCCGGGTTGCTGACCACCTCCTTGATGGTGCTTCCCTGGAGACACAGGCAGCCCTAGGACAAAGCAGAGCAGGAGCTGCAAATACCCGTGTCCCATCTGTGCCAGGCTGGCACTGCCAGGACTGAAGAATTCAAACAGATTGCAGGAGCTAGTGGCCTATATATATACACATATATGCTAAAAATTATTTTCAAACAATAAGGGAGGCTCCATAAATGCCAGTTTTTCTGACAAAGGAATTCTCAGAATGAGAAAACTGGTTATTTTGCTCTTTCTGGCTTTTTTCCCCCCTTCTCATGGTTTTTTTAACCCCTGTTGGGAGTGGAGAAGACCAGAGCATCCCGTTTCTGCTGCACCAGCGCAGGAAAACTCTTCCTTTAACACAGCACCACTTAAAACCAAAAAGGAAACCCAAAGTTTGCAGCAGAGGAGTGGAGAAAAAAAGATGAAAAAGGTAGGGAAAAATAAAAAGCAAAGTGGAAAACAGCCCTTTCTTTTGGATTTTCCTTTCCCCAAGTGTCGGGGCGATCACGGGTGGCTCGGTCCCGTGGCAGGGGATGGTGGGGAGCGGCCGAGGCGCGGGGCCGAGCGGTGCCTGAGTCAGCACCGGAGCCTCCCGGGGCAGGAAATGAGATGGAGCCGCAGAAATGACGCTTCTCAGCGGCTTCAGCCTCCAGAGAGACACCGGGCTCCCCCGGGCAGCGGGGACCGGCCGCGCTCCCCGAGCCTCAGCTCCAGCTCCATCAGTTGGAGTCGTCGATGGGATCAGGGAGGTTTGAAATGAGCCAGGATGGTCACAGCAAGAGCTGCCAAAAGTGCCATGAAGAGCAATAAGTTTTTTGCAGCACTTTTTGTTTCTGCATCCCATTCACAGCCAGGGAGACGGCTCTTCCCAGTGTCCCCTGAAATGGAGCAAAGTCAGAAATAGGACCCAGATCCCGCCAGGCTCAGCCCTGTGCTTTCACCCCAAGGTTCTACTCATCACCTTCCTCTTACGAGCTTTTTCTATCTCGAGATTAGTTTTCCAACCAGTAACAATTTGCACAGAGACTGGCTTTTCCGGCTCAGGGGAGGACCTTTCCCTGAAATTTCTCAAAACAAGGAAAAGATGGTGGCTATTCAAAAAGTAAGCTGCAGTATGGAGGAAATGGTTGAAAAACCAAAAGTTTATCCATATAAATTGGGAAAATAACCTGATTTCTTCCTGGTGAGTGTACTACAGTGCATACCCTGCAAAACGGTTGGCAGGAGTGAGCCAGAGGGGTTGCTACAGCCTGGAGAGGCTGAAGGTGGGGTGATGCTGCTGGAGAGCTGGGGACCACAGGCATTTGAATCATGCCCAAGTGAGAGATCACACCCCTGTTTTGTTCAAAGGGTTGGGTGGACGTTGTGCTCCCCTGGGGATCTCAAAAAGCTTCAGAACTGACAGGCACCGGAGCGTTCAGCAGATTTCAAGCCCTTTCCCTTAGAGGAACAGGGCAGGGCTCCTCTGGCCGCGCAGGGTGGACCCAGGGCAGCAGCTGAATAACACAAACTGTATGGGCACCACTGAGCCTTCTGTGAAGGATGGGGCTGGGCCAGGGTGGGAGACAAACTCCGGGGCTGGAGAGAGACACATTTCCTTTCTTTATCCCTCCAGCTGCCCTCTCCTGCCACAAGAGGAAAGAGTTGCCCTTCGTTGTTGTCTGTCCAGCCCACAGCCCTGCCGGGAGGTCTGTCTTGGGCAGATCCTCACACCCAGGCTGTGCTGAAGGTTCTGCTTGTGTCTTCCTAAAAGCATCCTGTAAAATACCTTTCCCACCGAGTGCACCATCACCTTAAGCACCCATTGCTGCTCTCACTGTCCCAGAAATGGGGGGGTACCCAGAAATGGGGGTGTACCCAGCTCTTTTTCTCCCTAGGCTTTTTCTGTTGTCTTGGAGAGTGATAACAATGTTCTAGTTGGTAACTCTTTGGTTTTTTCCAACCCCCCGTTGCCTGGGCACAGAGGGGCCAAGCCCCCAGCAGGGCTTGCAGGCACTTATTTAAGTGCATAGATGATCCTGCCCGGGATATCTCATCTCTGTTGCTGCCCACAGGCAGAAAAGCTCTTTAATACCCTACTCCAGACCATTCCCAAACCATTTCCCGATGAGCAAAGTTGGTAGACCAGGGAGGCTGAGGACCAGCAGAGCTCGACGGCCTCGTCCTACCTGCGGTTTGACATCGTCCTCGTCCTTGTAGTAGTAAAGCTGCTGGCCCTTGAGCACGAAGTACCTCTGCTGCCAGTTCTTGACGATGGAGCGCTGCTTCTTCAGCCAGCCGATCTTCAGGGGCCGCTCCAGAGGGTTGGGGGAGGCCGGCCGGGCCCCCACGGCCTCGCCACTCATCACGCTCCTGGAGCGGGCTGCGAGGAGAGAGAGGGACGGGTCGGTGGGGATGCTCGGGGACCAGCTGGGACCACCAGACCCCCGTCCCCACGGCCGGTGGCAGCTACAGCAGCGAGAGCTCTGCCCCCCTGCCTGAGCTCAGCAAACTGGCTGGAGGTTTTAAAGGAAGTGGCTGCAGTATCTGTCAGTGTGTGCTTCCTTTTTCCTGCGTGGGAGTAATTGTCTTGCAAGTGAGAAGAAAATCATTAGCTTTTTTTTTTTTTTTAATGGGAGTGTGTGTGTTGTTTTTTTTTATACCCACCCCAAAAGAGCCTGCAGCAGCGATAGCGGAATGACCCAGCCCAGCTTGAAAAAAAAAAACAAACCAAAAACTTTGTTGGAAATGGCAGTTCTGCTCGGGGAGAGCGTTGCCTGGTGTTTCCAGTGGAGCAGTTCTCACACAATGGGATTGGAAAGTCTCCAAGGAGGGGGAGGAAGCGCCAGTGTGGATTTACCGACTGGGCAGAGCCGTGTCCCCCGTCTCCCCTTCGCATCACACAGACGAGTTCTGTGCCAGGGACCAGCAGCATGGCCCTGTGGCATCTCAAAATGCTTCTGTGACAGTAAATGCCTTGGGAGGGATCATTCTGGTCAATGCTTCTAAATACTTAAAGGGAGCGTGTCAGGAGGATGGGGCCGGTCTTTTTTCAGTGGTGCCCAGGGACAGGACAAGAGGAAATGGGCACAAACTTGAAGGTAAGAAGTTCCACCTAAAAATGAGGAGGAACTTCTTCACTCTGAGGATGGCAGAGCCCTGGCAGAGGCTGCCCAGAGAGGTGGTAGAGTCTTCTTTAGAGACATTCAAACCCCCCTGGACATGTTCCTGTGGGACCTGCTCTGGCAGGGGGTTGGACTGGGTGATCTCCAGAGGTCCCTTCCAACCCCATGTGATCACCCTCTGTGATTCTGTGATTTCTGGAAGGGATTTTTGCCTCTGGACTGGGCACTGCAGGACCCCAGTGCCAGCCCAGCTGGGCAGAGTTAGCATTTGTGGTTGCAAAGACAATGATCTGACTCCAGGGGAATTCAGCTTCAGTGGTCTCCGCACACGGTGATCTCTGTGGTCTTGCATCTCCCCTGCTAAAACGGAGCTGAGGGCACCTGGCTGGGTCCTGTGGGTGAGGGAGGTGCAGGATTTGGGCCCCTGGGGCCAGCAGTGTTTCTGGCAGTGGGTGTTGAGGCTGAGCCGGGGCTGAGGGGGGGTTGTGCAATGCCCTGGGATGGGGGAAGCTGTGGTGGCCCCATATCTCTGCCCCCAGCTGCCTGCTTCTCCCCCGAGCTGCTCAGCAGAGCAGAGAGCTGCAGTTAGATAGGAGCAGCGATGAACCCTGGCACGGACCTGGGGTTGCAAAGGACAAGCTGAAAGAAGGAGAAAATTAAAAATCACCCACCGCTGCCTGGCGATGGTTGGGACTGGAGGCATCTCATGGCTGAGCGGGTGCTCCCATTGCACAGACACCCACCAGGAGCATGAGCCACAGACCATTCTGTACTCGGTGCCCAGCAGTCTGCGGTCACTTGGGAGGTCAGGGGGGGCTGCAGTTCAAGAGCAGCTTCCCCTTCTGAAATCCCCTGCAGAAAGAAACCCTGCCCTGCTTGGCCTTCATCCTTGGGAGGCAGGCTTGGGTAGGGCGCTCTGAGCTCCCCTCTCCCTCCTTTCACAGGATTGCAAATCAAAATCCCCAAAAACATCAAAAAGAACAGTGACTGTAAAAATCAGCCTTCAAAATGCAGTGAGGATGCTGCTTACACCTCAGTGTGCACTGCCGTGGGATGCCCCCTGCAGAGGATGGTGGCAATCAAGGACCTTCTCAAGGGATTTGCCAGGCAGCTCCCCCGAAAAATGCGGATACTGGGGATTACCCCAATTGAAAAACCCAAACGGGGTTTCCAAATTGCACCTCGTGCTCAGGGCAGCTTCTTTGCTCTTTGCCAAAACATCTGCATTACTCAAGTCTCACAAGTGTGGATTATAATGCTCAGCAAACTACTCACGAGCGGCCCCGCTCCTCTCCGTAAATCATGTTCCTTCATGATTTGATGCTCAGAGGGATGGAGCACCTCTCCTATGGAGACAGGCTGAGGGAGCTGGGATTGTTCAGCCTGGAGAAGAGAAGGCTCCGGGGAGACCTTATAGCGGCCTTTCAATACCTGAAGAGCTGGGGAGGGACTCTTTGCCAGGAAGGGTAATGATAGGACAAGGGGAAACGGTTTTAAATTGGAAGAAAAAAGATTCAGATTAGATCTCAGGAAGAAATTCTTTACTCTGAGGGTGGTGAGACACTGGAACAGGTTGCCCAGGGAAGCTGTGGCTGCCCCATCCCTGGAGGGGTTCAAGGCCAGGCTGGATGTGGCCTTGAGCAACCTGCTCTGGTGGGAGGTGTCCCTGCCCAGGGCAGGGGGGTTGGAACTCGATGATCTTTGAGGTCCCTTCCAACCCAAACCATTCTATGATTCTATGTCTTGGCTGCCACGGACTCCTCAGGGGTGAGGAATTTTGGGGAATGATCCTGGGGGGTGCAGCAACCGCCGGGAGCACGGAGGGTACTGGGTGCAGGGCTCTGGTGCCTCCCACGGACACTGTGCTCTGCAGAAACCACAGAGCCCGTTGCCAAAGGGCAGATCCCCAGGGGCTGGCTCCAGACCGGCCCCGTTCTGCAGGACGCAGCCTTCCCGCGGGCCAGTGCTCTGATCACTTCCCAAATTTTGCTGTGGGTTGTCCTGTCCCATCACAGGACCTCGATGAAACAGTGATTCTGATGTTCACTCCGCTTAATTAGCACTAAGGTTTGCAGAGCGAGGTCTCCCTGCCGAGCACAAGGGCTTAATCTGAAGTGAAGCTGCTGCGACACAGCTCGTGGGGTCTGTACGCACCCAAACGGGTGGAAACCAGGGATGTGTCTCCACCCAACAACTCCATCAGCTTTCCCCAACGAGCTCAACTCAGCCCAGCAGCACTGATACTCCAGCAGCACCAGGCTTGGGAGGAGAAATCATGTCTTTTAGGAAAAATGCCAAGTTTTACTACTTTTGATTGGAGATATTAATCTCCTTCTAAGCCCATCAGGGCTCTGCACCTGGAAGGGAAGTGACCTGGCAGGCACTGCTTCCCAGGGGTTCCTCCTGCTCTCAGCCTTGAGCTTAAATTGCCTGCTCCTTGCTGGAAATAAGGTTTATTCTCTCCCTCTTTGCAGCCTCTCCCAGATGCATGAGGAAGGGGGAGCACATTGAGGTCCCCGTTCTTTAGCATCAGCCCTTCTGGACCACCAGACTCACGGTGCAGCCGGGGGGCCATGCTCAGCTGTGTTTTGCCCGTGTTTAGACACACACACAACTGTGTCTTCCCTCCGCACGAGGCAGCTCCCCCTGTACGATGATGGGCTCATTTCAGGCCAAAATAACAGCTCTTTCTTACCCACGACGCGAGCACTCCCTGACCGCTCCCCCCACCGCAGGGCTCTTGCGGAGGCGTGGGGAGGGAGCTGCTGTGGGGAGCTTGGCTTTGCAGACAGCGAGGCTATTTTTGCCTGGTGGAAAGTTTTCTGCATTCAGAAAACCAGAGCTTTCAAGGCTGCGGCTCCCTCCTTTACCACTTTCCCAATTTTCTCCCTATTGTGGCCAGTGCGATGCCCAGCTCCTGCGCGATGCCCAGCTGAAAATTTTACAAGGGGCTGGGGTGAAGCTTCTTCCCTGGCTCTCACCAGGGTGGCCCAGCACCCGAAATCATCTCCTCCTTCACCAACACATCCCCAGCACCCTCGGCCCTGCTCCTCCTCACCGCTCTCACAGGGCAGGAAAGAGCCACTAAGAGTAAATGCGGTGCCCCCCGAAGCATTTCCTGCGGTAACCGCCTCTGAAGTCAAATATTTCCTCCAAAACATCCTCACTCTTCCTCCAGCCCTGGGGACCAGCCGTAGCAGGGTGCCCACGGCCTGCTGCCTGCTTCCTGAAAAGAGGAACCCTGCCAAAGCGTGTCTTGGAGGAGAAACGGTGCTGGGTGTCACCGTGGGGTCTCCATCAACGCTGGCTCCTGCCCCAAATCCTTCTCTTGGGAAAGAGCCCTCCCCATTGCTCCTGCCCCACAGGAGGGACGTCGGGTACTTGCAACACAAACCAGGAAAAGCCAAAGCGCCGCCATAGGTTTTTCAACGAAAATGGCAAATGCAATTTTCTCCTTCATTGAGCTAAATGGGTTTGCATTTTTCTCAGCAGGAGGAAGCCCACAGGAGCCGTGGCGCTGCCCTGGGGTTTACAAAAGCTGCGTGTGCCACGGCCACAGCTGGGGACGAGGAGGGGGAAGTGTCTCGAAGCTGGGAGGAGCCAGGGAGGACGGTGGTGACTAATTTGTGATTATTTTCCACAAGCAAGTCACATCCCTGCAGCACCCCCGAGGGTGGCAGCGGCCGATCCCCGCAGCCAGGAACCCTCCAGCGTGAGGAGGGTCCATCACCGAGCTGTGCCCCAGCTCTCTGCACACACACACACACACACACAGCCCTCATCTCGGGGGCTCGCAGCAGCTGCAAGCTGCAAAAAGCACCCAGAATTTCATCACTAACTGATTTTTCTTGGAAAAAAAAAAGCAATTCCTGGTAACAACACAGGTTCAAGCCTGTGTCCTGTCTCCACCCTCTCTGCTTCCCCGCAGCCAGCAGACTCAGTGTCCCCTGGCCTTTCTTCCTGAGCTGCTGATCGAATTTACCCTCTGCCCCGCAGCCTCTGCGCAAAAAAAAATCTTAATTATCTTAAGAATGGGCAATGCAGAAATCCAGGACGCTGCCATGATAACTACGTGAGGGTTTTTTCCCCCACTGTCCTGCAGACTGGTGGGTGCAGGTGATGGCACTGCCTCCTCCATCCTCCTGCAAGCTCCTGGACCACCAGGGTCTCATCCTTCCCCTCGCTGTGTGTCACCGAGCCAGCCACAGCAGTGGCCGCCGGGGGCCAGCGGGGCTTCATCTGGGGCCTTGTGTGAAGCAAAAGGTTTGGCCACCCCCCGGAAAGCAGCTTCAGACAGGAGTCCAAACTGCCCGTGCAAGAACATCCACCTTGCAAGGTGCAGGGAGGAAGAGCTCAGCACCACAGGGTCTGGCTTGGGCAGATCTCGCTGCCACAGGGACAAACCAAGTTGCCAACGGGTGCCTTGACCAGTGCCAGGACCACGGAGGACCTTTGCTGGGCTTGTGCCCCCCTTCCTTGGCCCCACCATCCACCCCCCTCCCCGGCTTCACCCAAAGGCAGGCATTGGCTCTGACGTGACCCCTCAGAGCCCAGGATCAGGACCCCTCACTCCTCCCCAACCCCCTTCTCCAGTGGTTTTCCTGCTGGAGATGGATCCCATGGCAGTAGAGGAGAGTCAAACAAAGCCTGGGCAGAGCAGATCACCCAGTGAGGCCGTCCCATGGCACAGAGCCCGGCATGGGCATCAGAGGGCTCTTTACCACCGAGGAGAGGAAACGAATGACGTTGGGGAGGGCAGAGAAACCTGAGCAAGAGCGAGATTGCTTCCTCCAGCCTTCACCGTTCCGTCCGCCTCTTGGCCTATGCTTCACCTCCTGCAAGGCTTGTGCCAGCACCATCAGGACCCCTCACTCCTCCCCAACCCCCTTCTCCAGTGGTTTTCCTGCTGGAGATGGATCCCATGGCAGTAGAGGAGAGTCAAACAAAGCCTGGGCAGAGCAGATCACCCAGTGAGGCCGTCCCATGGCACAGAGCCCGGCATGGGCATCAGAGGGCTCTTTACCACCGAGGAGAGGAAACGAGTGACGTTGGGGAGGGCAGAGAAACCTGAGCAAGAGCGAGATTGCTTCCTCCAGCCTTCACCGTTCCGTCCGCCTCTTGGCCTATGCTTCACCTCCTGCAAGGCTTGTGCCAGCAGAGTCATAGAATTGTCCAGGTTGGAAGGGAGCTTTCAGATCATGGAGTCCAACCCTCAACCCAGCTCTGCCCAAACCCCCACTGACCCATGTCCCTCAGCACCATGTCTGCCCGGCTTTTACATCCTTCCAGGAATGGCGACTCCACCACTGCCCTGGGCAGCCTCTTCCAATGCTTGATAACCCTTTCAGTGTCAAAATTTTCCCCAATATCCATCCTAAACCTCCCCTGGCACAACTTGAGGCCGTTTCCTCTTGTCCCATGGCCTGTTCCTTGGCAGAAGAGACCGACCCCCCCTGGCTACACCCTCCTTTCAAGGAGTTGGAGAGAGCAAGAAGGTCTCCCCTCAGCCTCCTTTTCTCCAGGCTCAACACCCCCAGCTCCCTCAGCAGCTCCTGTGATTTAAAATCCCCCCCAAAACCTGAATTTTGGGTGGGGAGCAGCCCCACGCTGCCAGGCCCCCCCGTTCCCCACCCTACCCAGAGCCGCGGCGCTGCCCGTGCCCCCGCAGCATCCCTGGGGGACAACTTTGCAAATCACTTCTTGCAAGTCATTTGCAAACCGGCTGCTGTCTCGAAAGCGGTAGCTGGGGGCCAGGCCCCCCCCACAAAAGGCCAGAAGCAGGTTTGTAGCCCAAATCGCCGCTGTGCTCGGCCGCAGACCCCCAGTTTGCACCTGAAAGGCTGAAGCAGGAACCAAAGGGCATAAAGAAACACTCACGGTACCTATTTTTGCAGCATCCATTTTCAGGTTGAAATCCCAGTTCCGAGGCAGCTTGAGGGACATTTTGGATCAAAGAGGGGCTTTTTTTTTTTTTTTTTTTGGTTTTTCGAGGGAGGCTTGCTTAGGAGACAGGCTGAGATGAAGTTCTGACAGTCCCGTGGGGCTCCTGTGCCCCGGGGTGCGATCCCCCCCCCTCCACGAAGAGCTCAGCAAGGCTTGATTTGCCAACGTACTTCCTCCTCCCTCCTCTCAGAGCGGCCGTGAACAACCCCATAAAAGTACTTTCCTGCCCTGCTTTCCTGCAAAGCTCTCGTCTTGCTTCCCCGACGACGCCAAGGCGATGCTACCTCCTTTTTATTTTTGGCCCCCCTTTTCTCTCCCCCAGCTTCGGCTGCCGGGGGGACGCAGCGGCCCGGCCCCAGCCCGCAGGGAAACGTGGCTGCTCTCGGCGCGCGGCTCCTCGCATTTGAGGAAGTGGGTGTCCTTCTCGGGGCCCTTGGTGCACCAGAAGATGGCTCGCTGAAGGACACGGCCCGGCGCGGAGCTTTGGGAAGTGCTTGGCTCAGCAGCGGAGCAGAGAGGCCGCGGCTCGGGCGGCCACGGGGAAACACCACAGGATGATGGGGGCTCCAAATGTCCCAGTGATCCCCTGTGTGCACGGCCTGGAGTTTCCTATATATATATGTATAATCATAGAATTATAAAATGGTTCGGGTTGGAAGAGACCTCAAAGTCCTCCCAGTGCCACCCCCTGCCCTGGGCAGGGACACCTCCCACCACACCAGGTTGCTCCAAGCCCCCTCCAACCTGCCCTTGAACCCCTCCAGGGATGGGGCAGCCACAGCTTCTTGGGGCAACCTGGGCCAGGCTCTCACCACCTTCAGAGTTCAAAATTCCTTCCCGAGACCTTGTCTAAATCTACCCTCTTCCAGTTTAAAAAAATATATAGGGTCCCCACAGCTGATTTAGGGTTTTTTCACCCACTTTGTAGCAGTGGTACCAGCGAAATGGAGATGGAATGAGGTTGCTCGTGGAGGAAAGGCTGCGGGTCTCAGGGCAGTGAGGACCAGGGGATGGTCTGCTACTGCTTGTTTGCAACGTGGCTACAGCACAGGCTGCAAGCAAAACAAAAATCCCTGCAGCTGTTTTTATGAGGTCACTTCTGCAAAGTGGATTGCTAACCTTGTCAAAAGACCCCATCAAGAGGAGCTTCCAATTTTCCAAGCGGTCAGTTATGAGTCTAAGCTGAGACTGTAATAATAAAGGGCTTTGTCAGAAAGGCTGAGAGAGCTGGGACTCTTTAGTCTGGAGAAGAGAAGGCTGAGGGGAGACCTTATTAATGCTGACAAGTACGTCAAGGGAGGGTTGAAGGAGGAGGGAGCCAGACTCTTTTCAGTGGTTCCCAGGGACAGAACGAGGGGCAACGGGCACAAGTTGGAACAGAAGAGGTTCCACTCAAATATGAGGAGAAACTTCTTCACGGTGAGGGTGACAGAGCCCTGGAACAGGCTGCCCAGGGAGGGTGTGGAGTCCCCTTCTCTGGAGATCTTCAAGACCCGCCTGGATGCTCCTGAGTAACATGCTCTGACAAGCTCTGGGCAATCCTGCTTCAGCAGGGGAGTTGGACTAGATGATCTCTATGGTCCCTTCCAACTCTAAAAATTCAGTGAAATTCAGTGAAAATTCATTGAAAGCCTAAATGTGCTTAAAGGGCCATGAAATCCATACTTCCCATAGGAGGTGTTTGCCTCTGGATGTCTCTATACATTAGTGTGACTGAAATTTTGGAAAAAAAAGAGCTGTACTTGCTGAAATATCCACAGACCCCACCAGATCAAGCGAAGCCCCTTTCCCTGCTCACACCACCAAGTGTCTCCTGTTTCATGTCATTTAATGCTGCGTTTTTCCCCAAAAAAGAAATGGCTGTGCAAGGCAGGCTGCCGTGCGATTAGCCCGAGATGTGGCTCTCGAGAGGTGGGATGAGCCCAGGGAGGGGTTGGTGGGTTCCCAAACCCCCAAACCATGGCACTGTGTCCCGGGGCAGGGGGGGGGCTCTATCCTTTTTCCCCCCGTGCTGGGAGAGCCCAGGCGCTGCCGAGGGGGAAGCTGCCCTGAGCAGAAGCAGAACCAGCAACGTGGGGAGCTCGGGGGGCTGGACAAGGATGTTGCCAGCACTTCCCGTGGTGATTGGCAGCTGGGATGCACCCAGCTGCTTGCAAAGGCTTTTTTCTTTTTTTTTTTCTTTTTTTTTCCTTAATAAAATCGCGCAGCGTGAATTGAGGATGTGCCTCTCGGGGAAGGAGCCGGAGGCTGCACTCACTGCCCCCAGTCGCAGCAGGGCTGGGGTGGACCCTGGTGGGTTAATGATGTGGGTTAATCACGGCTGAAAAAAAAATGATTTGTGGCTCTGAGCAGTGACCAGAGGCAGCTCAGAGATCCCCAGCTCACACCTTCCACTGCCCAAAGCCCAGGGACGGGGTGGTGAGGAACGCGGTGCTATCACAGCGGCATGTACCCAGGTCTGGACTAGATTAACCCCAATATCCTGCTTTGGACCCAGAATGCTTGAGTTAACTCCGTTTCTGACACACCCCAAGCAGAAGGCCCTGAAGGAGCCCTGAATTAAGCATCATTTTTTTCCCTCTTCTTAATAATACCTGCAGAAAACCATAGGAGCTCCAGGTCACGCATTATGATCCATTTTTTATTTCATTTCAACTGGTTTTGGGTTTTTTTCTGCAAGCCTTGAGAACAGCCGCCCGTGTGAACAGGATGTCACGTGGCACTTTCGCCTCCTTGAGAAAGGAAACAGCAAACGTTTTAACCCAAAAACCCTGCGATTCAGCCCAATCGGGGCTGGGTGGCAGCAGCTCAGCCCTCCCCGTCCCCCCCCGCCCCGGGACAGCCCTTCGACAGCACCCAGAGGGTAGTGGCTGCCTCCAGGTTTGGGAAAGGACATTAAGAGATTGGGGTGGTTGGGGTGGGTTTTTTTTAGCAGTCAAGCTGAGCAGCCTCAGGGGGACGTAAAAAGGGTAAATCTCAGCCCAGAAAGTTGTTTGTTTTGGTTTTACATCCCTCTTCTACCAGATCTCATGGAAAAATGTGCCTGGACAGAGGGTTGCACCAGACCTGCTCGCACGGAGGCAGCTTTCCCTTGAGGCACAGCCAGCACCGGGATTTCCACTGGGAATTTGCCGCTTTTGATGTTTCATTTAATTAAGCTGACACAGGACGGGGAGAAAAAAGGAGAGATGTTGAGCAGAAGTAGCTGAAATGCGAGCAGTGGTGGGGATCTGCCAGTGGCAGAGGGATGGGATGGTGTCTTGGATGGGATGGTGACCTGCATGGGATGATGACCTGGATGGGATGGTGTCCTGCATGGGATGGTGATCTGAATGGGATGGTGACCTGGATGGGATGGTGACCTGGATGGGATGGTGTCTTGGATGGGATGGTGACCTGAATGGGATGGTGACCTGGGTGGGATGGTGACCTGGATGGGATGGTGTTTTGGATGGGATGGTGTCCTGAATGGGATGGTGTCTTGGATGGGATGGTGTCCTGAATGGGATGGTGTCTTGGATGGGATGGTGTCCTGAATGGGATGGTGTCTTGGATGGGATGGTGTCCTGGATGGGATGATGTCTTGGATGGGATGGTGACCTGCATGGGATGGTGTCCTGAATGGGATGGTGTCTTGGATGGGATGGTGACGTGAATGGGATGGTGTCTTGGATGGGATGGTGACCTGGATGGGATGGTGACCTGGATGGGATGGTGTCCTGAATGGGATGGTGTCCTGGGCTCCCTGCAGGGCACGGGCACACACCCTGCCCCGCTGCCGGCCACTCGCCCGGAGATCTCAGTCCCTTTCCCAAAGGATTCAGCACGAGGGATCTTTCCAGACCTCTCAGTAACGGCGTCTAATTGCTCCGTAGCACTGCTGATATTGCACGTGGCTGCTCAGCAGGTTTCTCCTTAACCAGCCGGCTCCTCCGAGGGCAAAACGTTGCCACGTCAGGTTTGGGGCTTTAGAGTGATTTTGCAAGGTTGCTGTAAAGAGAGGGCATCGGATTTTTGTTGCTGTTGGAGGATTAATTTGTCTGCAAATGCCCACACAGTGTGACAGGAAGCAAGACGAGGGCTCCTGGTGGGTTGGTTCAGCTGAGCTGGTAAGTCAAAACCAGTCAAAATAACACCAGAGCTGAAAATAGCATGTTTTTGCCGGGTAAACAGAAGGATCCTGCTCTCCTAACCCCACGCAAGTCAGGAGAAACAGCTGAAATAAAGCAGTAATTAATGCTAAGTGGAATTCCAACAATTTTTCACGTTCCCAGTGAAATCTTGAGGGTGAAGGGAGCGGATTTGCAGAGGACAGCAGGGCCAACACTTCCCTCACCTTTGATCAAGATGGGCTGGTGCGATCTGCTCTCAGCTTCCACTGCAAACCTCGTGTCCCTGGTGCAGGACACAGATCACAGAATCACATGGGGTTGGCAGGGACCTCTGGAGATCACCCAGTCCAACCCCCTGCCAGAGCAGGGCCACCCAGAGCAGGTCCCACAGGAACGTGTCCAGGGGGGGTTGCAATGTGTCCAGAGATGGAGACTCCACCACCTCCCTGGGCAGCCTCTTCCAGGGCTCTGCCACCCTCACAGGAAAGGAGTTCCTCCTCATGGTTAGGTGGAACTTCTATTCAAGTTTGTGCCTGTTTCCCCTTGTCCTGTCCCTGGGCACCACTGAAAAAAGACCAGCCCCATCCTCCTGACACCCACCCTTGAAGTATTTATAGGCGTTGATCAGATCCCCCCTCAGCCTCCTCTTCCCCAGACTAAAAAGCCCCAAGTCCCTCAGCCTCTCCTCATAAGAGAGATGCTCCAGGCCCCTCAGCATCTTTGTGGCATCTGCTGTCCCCTCTCCAGCAGTTCCCTGTCCTTCTGGAACTGGGGAGCCCACAACTGGTCCCAGTGCTCCAGCTGGGGCCTCCCTAGGGCAGAGCAGAGGGGCAGGATGACCTCCCTCCACTTGCTGGTCCTACTCTTCCTGATGCCCCCCCGGATGCCCTTGGCCTTCTTGGCCACAAGGTCCCATTGCTGGCTCATGGGCATCCTGTTGTCCATCAGGACTCCCAGGTCTTTCTCCTCAGAGCTGCTCTCCAGCAGGTGACCCCCACCCTCTCCTGGTGCAGGGGGTTATTCCTCCCCAGGTGCAGCATCTACACTTGCCCTTGCTGAAGTTCATCACGTTCCTCTCTGCCCAGCTCTCCAGCCTGTCCAGGTCTCGCTGGATGGCAGCACAGCTCTCCATTGTGTCAATGACCCTCCCAGTTTTGTGTCACCAGCAAACTTGCTGAGGGGACACTCCATCCCCTCATCCAGGTCACTGATGAATATATTGAAGAGGACTGGACCCAGTACTGACCATGATGGTCCCATCCTGCCTGGTGCTCAACCCCTCCGCAGCCTCCACCTGCATCTTGGCCCAGGAAAATCCCCGAGGAAGGAGAGCTACGGGGCAAGGAATCGGGGAATCTGAGTTTAAAACAGACCAATCTGCTTCACAGAGCACAGAAAGGAGGTTTTCAGCGCTGAATAAAACTCCGCTACAGATAATGGAACTTATATTTATTTAACAGTAACATATAGTATATAAATAGGGTAAATACTTTAAAATATACAATATATCACATTCGGACATCCGGTCAAAGGAAGGCAACTCTACATGTGATCTAAAACATTAATCAAAAGAACAATGCACAGAGAAAGAAGCAGATGGTGGGAACACGTCAGGTCTGGAGAGGAGGAGCAGACAGAGGTTACAGCAGCACGAACGGCAGCTCCGGGGCTGGTTACGGGGGCAGGAACCACGGGAGCTTTCAGGCTGTGCTTTTTGTCACCCACACCTGTCCCCAAGGAGGGTCTGGATGGCCCCTACGGATGCTTTCCATGGAGCTTCTCCCTCCTCCGGTCACACAGAGCCACGGAGGGAGGCGGGGAAAGGACGGGATGCCAGGATCCCAGCACAGCTCGGGGGAACCCACCCCACACCCCCGAAACAGCAGACACACCTTGGAACACAAGATACCTCCACTTTGCCAAGCCTTAGCTGATGCTATGGGATTTTCAGCTTCGTGAGGTCACAGGGTACCATAAACCCAGGTAACATCTGCCCCTTCACATCAGCATCAGCAGATTCCTGAGCCCATCACCCCAAAGAATATCTAAATAACAGAGGCTGATGGGCACAGACATGACACCGTACGTAGAAAACAGGTTTTGATGTTTCTCTCAGCACTGCAGGCCAGCCCTGCAAACTGATCTGCAAACTGATTTCACTAAATCACCCACCAGCAAACAAACATCATCAATGTTTAGAGTCACCTCGCCAGGACCAGCAGCTCTCCAGCCACCAGCCATCCCTGGGCTCCTCAATACACTCACACCCCTCTCTGTCCTCTCCAGCTGGGAAAGCAGCGACCTCTTGTGAGGTGGTTTCCAAACCAGCCCGTCCCCTGCCAGGCAGCCTGTCCCCTCCCAAGCTTCAAACTGGCCAAATCCTACTTTTCCTCCCAATCCGAGCACACACACGCCGGCTGATAGAGTCTCCCCGCTTGCCGGTCTGCTCTCACAGGCCTTTCCCTCAAGCAGGAGGAACTTCTCCACTCGTGGAGCCCAACTATGAACAAAAACTACTGTGTGATGCCGACCTTCAGCCCTGCAGCTGGAGAAACTTCAGCTGAGCATCCCCATCACCTCATCTAGACATCCCTGGTGGCAGTTTGGCCCCTCCAGCAGCACCACCTCTGGCAGCCTCCCCCCAAACCTTGTGGGAGCTGCAGCACACCCAAAGTCCTGCACGGCTTCATGCAATGGCAAGAGGTACAACGTGCCTTTGCTACACATCCCTCGGCATTACAGGTAATTCCTTTAGGGACAGCCAACACCAGAAACATCAGCTTTTCATTTCCTCTAACTTTCTAAGCCTAACTTGAGCTATTTATGACAAACCAAAGCCATCCATGGGCTGGGCTGATGGGGGAAAGCCACTGGGTGCTCCCCCAGGCAGCACGTTGTCACCAGGAGCCGATCAGCACTATCACACACACTCACACCAGTGGTGTGACGTGGGTTTGCCACCCCAGCTCTCAGCCCCACGGAGGACACACTACAGCACTCACCAGTATCGCTGAGCCAGACCAGCTGTACAGCCTGCAAATGATCTTAACGACCCCCATCTTCCTCCCTCCCTCTCTCCTCCGTTCCCCAAAGGGATGCACCGTTCCCGTTCAGTTTATTCAGCTTCAGAGGAGGATGCTGAACCGTTTCTCCGTAGCTGTCCCCTTCAGGATCAAAACAGGCCTGGAAGCTCAGCCTCCAGCTGGGAAGGAAGCAAGAATAAAGCAAGAATAAAGCAAGAATGAAGCTGTGGGCTCACCAGGAAAGGCACCCACATGCACTGTGGCTGCTGCTCCTCTCCCAGCCCCAGGAAGCCACTGAACGCAGCGGCTTTGCCCTCCAGTGCCTGCATCCAGCACTGCACCCCACTGCACCATCCAGCACTGCACCCCACTGCACCCCACTGCACCATCCAGCACTGCACCCCACTGCACCCCGCTGCACCATCCAGCACTGCACCATCCAGCACTGCACCCCACTGCACCATCCAGCACTGCACCCCACTGCACCCCGCTGCACCATCCAGCACTGCACCATCCAGCACTGCACCCCACTGCACCCTCCAGCACTGCACCCTCCAAACAGCCCCCAACCCCACCTCAGACCAAAAGCAGGCAGAAAAGCTTCACTCTGGATTTCTGCTCCGCTAATTACAACTAAAGGTTTAAAACAAGACGAGCAGGAGACTAAAGACCCATATGGAAAATTTCTCAATATAAAGAGCGGTACAATTCTGTAATATTTAGCAACACAAGAGCTTCTCCTGCTGACTGATGTATGACCCGACAGGGCGCTACGAGGGTTTTGGCAGATGTTGGGCAGGGAGAATGCAGAAAAGCCCCAGCTTGTCTGACCCCACAGGGCAAATGGCTTTTCAGGGGCTACACAAACCCCTCTCACTTCCACACCTACTCCCCACCCAGGTGCTCCTCGCAGGTGCCCTCGCTTTGCCCAGTTAAACTCAGCCAAACAGTCATCAAACTCAGCCCAAATATTCTCCCCTGGCACGGCAAGATGGAAGCACCTTAATTCTGCCCTTCGATTTTCAAATTAGGGGTTTGGACCAATGTCCTCTGAATTGATGGAAAATAAGTCCTTGCCTTGTTCTGGCTGGAAGAGAACAGTCTCCACACCTAGTCCTGTAAAGCCTCTGCGACCACCACCAGCATTAACCAAACACAACCCTGATGGGCTCTGTCGCAGCAGCCCCCACTCTGGCCAGAGGGCAGTGACTTTGCCAAAGCTGGACATATTTTATGGAAAGAGACCCTTCCCCTCCGCAATCTCTGCTTTCCATCCAATACCTGTATTTGCAGGACAACGGGCACCAACCTCTGCCCCGTGGCTCCTGTTCAGGGAGATGAAGCAGCGCTTATGACACAGGAATTCCTATAGAAATCTAAGAGAGAGGTTGGGAAATCTTAATGTATTTACACTCGCGCGCTCTCGCTCACTCGGGGTAAATCAAAGCAGGATCAGAATAGGGAGAATGAGCTCCCAAGTATATTCAGGTGGTTTATTTTCTGTGGATGCTCAGCCAGCGTGTACGTGTCTCCACACGGGGGGTGTCTGTGTGTAAGGTTTGTGTCAGCAGCTGTTTGAAAACAGCAACGTACTTCTGTATTATCTTTCCCTGTCACTCGTTCCCCAGGTTAAAATAAGGTAAAGTTTCTCTCTCCCATGCACAAACTATGGAAAGAAGCAAAATCAGAGTCACCTTGTGTCTGGGAACATTGCATAAGGTATAATCCGGGGATATTTGCACTCTCTGATCACAAAAAAAAAAAGGAATAGTTTTACAATCTTTAGGGCTCTCATTTTTAAATAATAAAAAAGTATGACAAAATAAAGGAAAGTACTTAGATAAACCTTGCAACTATTTAAGTACAAACTATTTATGACAAGATTTAGTAAGCGAAGCAGGACAGAAACCTGCAGGTCACTGGACCCAGACTGAAATGCGACACAGACCGTGATAAACTCAGCAGCACGACATCTAGAACTCAAGTAACAAACAGGTGATAGACATGATCCCTGAAAGAAAAACAACACACCCAGCCGACAGCCCCAGCAGCACTGGAGCCCCAGCCAGCAAACTTCAGAAAAAAAAAAAAAAAAAAAACAAACCCCAAATTGGAAACTGCGCTCCAAATCAGTTAAAATATCCCAGTGCGGGGTTTCCAACCATCGAGAAATGAAAAAGTGTGGTTCAAAGGGGGGGGGGGGGGGGAAAGGACTAAGTTATTTAAAGGGTTGTTCTTACTCGGCAGGAATTACTCAATGAAACTTCAACGTTCTTTAAAACCTATTTACTCGACTCAGTTTTGAAGCAATTTGAACCTCCCACATCCCCACAAGCGACTACCAGTTTCCTGACTCCTTGTTCCCAGTCTATTTCTGGTTTCATTGGTTATAAAAAAATCTTATTTGCCAAAATATCAGCCGTTAAGGGAGGAATGTGAGAGGCGCTACGAAAAACAGCCAGTGAAAATAGATGCTCATGCCTGGCCGGGCAGAGGAACCGCGGCTGATGAGTTACAAGATCCTCTGCCAATTAATTAAGCGTGTGCTCGCGGCGCAGTCGGCAAAGGGACCGCACGCAGGCGTCAACGTGGCTTTCTGGGGAAATTCACGTTGGGTTCACAGTTCCCTCCGGAGAAGAGGATGGTCCCCAGAGCTGCCCTCGTGCCCGGAGGCGGTTGGTTGTAGGGACACAGCGCATCGCCTACACCCGGCACAAACACCCTCCCAGGAAAGGTCCCGCTCTGCCCACACGCACCCGAGGTTAAGGACAGACCACGAGGACAGTCGTACCCTCCTACTTCACCCAACAGTCCTTCCAAGCTCCTTTTTTCAGCTACAAACCCAAGATTTGCTCGTTTTGAACCAAAGCGATATAAATACGTTATTAAAAAAAAAAAAAAAAACCAACCCACAAATGCAAACATTTACCAGGAAAGGAAGAAGAATTACAGTGAAATGAGGCCTTGTTATTGTCTTAGATCAGGCAAGCTGGGAATTTCCTCAGCGGGGCTTGTCTGTTTTCAGTCCTGTTCCCATCGCCCGGCTCTCTACGCCTCCTCCAACGTGCCCAACATGCCCTTGTCGACCAGGTGTGCTTTGAGCGTGTTGAAGATGTGGAGCTGCTGGTCTGGCCGCAAGGTCAAGAACTGCTGGATCAGTTTGCTCGGGTTGGGACCTCTGAAACACAGAAGCAGCATCACCAATGAGTCACGCTGTTAAATCTTAACAATCTGGGAACCCGAGCGCCCAATTTCATTAAAATAACAAGCTTAAAGTAAGAAGAGCCACATTGCCCATTTCTTCCCCAGTTCTGCCCAAGGAGCTTCACTCCATTGGAGATCATGGAATCATCAGAGTTGGAAGGGACCTTCTAGAGACCATCCAGTCCAACTCCCCTGCCAAAGCAGGGCTGCCCAGAGCACATCACTCAGGAGCATCCAGGAGGGGCTTGAAGATCTCCAGAGAAGGGGACTCCACACCCTCCCTGGGCAGGCTCTGCCAGGGCTCTGCCACCCTCATCCCAAACAAGTTCTTCCTCAGATTGGAGTGGAACTTCCCATGTTCCAGCTTGTGCCCGTTGCCCCTCGTCCTGTCACTGGGAACCACTGAAAAGAGTCCAGCGCCCTCCTCCTTCAACCCACCCTTCAGAGACTTGTCAGCATTAATAAGGTCTCCCCTCAGCCTGCTCTTCTCCAGGCTAAAGAGCCCCAGCTCTCTCAGCCTTTCCCCATCAGGGAGATGCTCCAATCCCTTAATCATCTCTGTTGCCCTACGCTGGACTCTCTCCAGCAGTTCCCTGTCTCTCTGGAACTGGGGAGCCCAGAACTGGACGCAGGATTCCAGTTGTGGCCTCCCCAGTGCAGAGCAGAGGGGGAGAATGACCTCCCTCCACCTCCTGGCCACACTCTGCCCTACACAGCCCAGGATCCCATTGGCCTCTTGGCCACAAGGGCACGTTGCTGGCTCATGGAAAGGTTACTGTCCACCAGGAGCCCCAAATCCAAAGATTCAGATCTGTGGATTCCAAAGGCACAGGATGCTCCACTGCAAACAAAAAAAAAACCAAACCCAATCTGGTTTCAAGAGGGTTGTGAATCTCCCCTTATCAGCAGGTGCTCCCTCTCCAAAATCAAAGCAGCCACATAAAGACAGTTCCTCATCTCCTTCGGTACATCTTTTATGCACCTACAGGCTTTCCTCTGTGCTTGGCTACAGAATACTTGTTAATGCTACAAAATTGGGACTTTTCTGCTCGTTCAGCTCTGGAAACCCTGCTCAAGACTCACGGGGATGCAGAAAGGACTTGGAGGAATTTCAGAGGGGCTGGAATAACAGACTTTGGGAAAGGGGGGTTGTGTCTCCAGCTCTGCGTGACCCTGCTAAAAGACACTTCCCTTCTTCAAGCCTCCATTTCCTCTCTTTCTTTATCTTGTATTTTCAGATGTTCATCTAACAGAGATAATGACTGTCTCTCACTGCAAACAACCCTCTCTCATTACAAGCTTGTGCTTGTCACTTGACAGGGCCCCCAAATCCCACTGCCAAGCAATAAATACCTGATGAAGCTTGCGATGTACACGTTGACAAAGGTCGCCATCAGGTACTGGCAGTCGAAGCGGTCCATGATACCTCCATGCCCGGGGATCGTGTTGGCAAAGTCCTGAGCAAAGAGAAGGGATGGCACTGAGCAGTCTCAAACCCCCCTTACCTGGACTTGCCCACGTCCCTCTGTGCACGACCCTCGTACCCTTGCTCCGATTCTCCCCAGAAGGCAAAAGTCAGAAGAAAAAGACATTTTGTTTAATGTCCCCCCGGTTTTAAAAGTTTCTCCTTTATGAAGACTACCAGTGCCTGAGGAACATCGAGGCTTAACTCGGATCCATCACTCAAAGATCAAGGCAGGCTGATGTTTACCTCTTGCCTTTCAAGGCATCCTAACCGAACACAGACTGTTTATACCTAAAACCAGCCTGCAAGACATCAAGAGAAGCCTCAGATTGCAAAATTTCCTGACTGGGTCTTTCTTCCTCCACCTCCAGTTCTGCACCACAGCAGGGTTTAGAAGATCATGGCTGAAATGTTAAGGTCTCTCTTCATTCAGTCACAAAAACTAGATCCTGCTCCAGCATTTCATCTGTGACCGAACAAACCTCCCCCTCCATCCCCAAGCTCCCTCTGTCACTGCTCAGAACACAATCCTTCCTTTCTAAAACATAAATTACCTTCACCCCTCACCATCCTCACCTTGATTTTGAAGGCCCTCTTGAACCCACTGGCGAAGAAGCCTCCGAACGGCCCGATGAGGGAGGCGAAAGTGGAGAGTGCGATGCTGTGGATCTGGAAGGGGTACATCCGGACTGTCTTCTGCAGAAAGAAAAACAGGTCAGAGAAGGACTTTCAATGAGAATAGCCCTGTCCACGGCTTCCCCTCTTTTTCCCCTGGGCTCTCCAGGCTTTAGACCAGTTGGTTTTCAAGTGGGTTAATGTCCCACATGGGGGGACAATTCCTTTGAGCCTTCAACCAACCTGGAGCACCGCTAAATTCCCCCTTTTTCTGGATGTACCATCATCCCTTGTCATGTTCCTTCAAAGACCATCAGAATAAAGCCCTGTTCTCTTTTCTTAGCGTTCCTATCCCAATCAATAAGACCCAGGAGAGAGAGAGAGTCCTACCCAGCCCACCACGGACTGCAGCACCAAGGGGATGTTGTACTCCTGCAGCTGGAACAGCTCGGAGGGCTCACAGTCCACCGTGAAGCTGTTGGTGTCATTGTTGAACTCCACGGGGCAGGTGAAGCACCGGTACCCAGACATCACGTAGGACAGCTTCAGGGAGAGGGGAAAAGAGATGCAGGAAGAGAAAACAGGATCAGTAATTTCCTGTGCAGTGTGGCAGAGCCCATCTCAAGGGAAAAGGCAGCTCAAGGAGAGAAGGAGAAGACGGAGCCACGCTCCCAGCTTCATTAAGAAGATTACTCTCCTGAGAAGCAGTAATTGGCTAAAGGCAGAGTAAGCATTTTTCTTTAGCAAGTGCATCTGTTCAGCAAGCAGTGAATGGGCCAAGACAGGCTGCACCGCTTGGCTGGGAGGGAAACAAGCAGACATGGAGACCATCATAAAAACAGGTAAGAACATTCCGAGAGCACTGAAATTCCCCACATGGCCCTTGAAATGACGCACAGTGTTCATCCAACAGCAGCAGAGAGAAAACTGCACAGATAATTATTGTAACCAACACGTCACAGGGTCTAACAGGGACTAAAAGCTTCCCCCAGTTCTCTGCTCCACCTGCAGTGCCTGCAGCCAGCACAAAACACAGCCTCGGACCAGTTCAAACCAGTCAGCAAGGAAAATGGGAGGACTCTGATGAGAGCTGGGCGAACTCAAAGCCTGACTGCATTTTTTAGACAAAGCCCTGTCACCCTACGAAGGGAAAAGACCAATGAAATAAGCACCACGATTGTGACTTACCAACAATCCAAACAAAACGGTGGCAAAAAATCCTCCAATAAACCCTTCCCAGGTCTTCTTTGGGGAGAGCTGCCAGAGAGAGGGAGAATTAATTACAACCTGTGCGTCTCCACACGCCTCTGCAGTCCGTCCTCACTTGTGAATTGCTGAGGCAAATACAAAATTGCTGCCAACAACCGACAAATCAGAGCTTGGTCAGAAGGTGACAGCAACATCTTGGTTTGAAACGGTTCATTTCACTTTAGAGCCTCAAAGGCTGGGGCACACACCAAGCTCGGTTCAGAGACTTGCTTCAGACCCACAATAAATCACAACTCTGGAGATGGGGGAATGCAGGACTAAGACCCAAAGAAGCCAAAATGCGTGTTTTGTCCAGCAAAGTGGTACAAACCTTGATGAGCGGCGTGCGGCCGAAGAAGAACCCGAACATGTAGGCCATGATGTCGTTGCAGATCACACAGGAAATGGGGACGATGAACCTAGATGGAAGAAGAATCAAACCTTTGGAAAGCGCCACGGTCGGACAACTCCAAGGCTTAAATAAAAGAGCAGCTGCTTCAAAAGATGCTCAGCAGGGCCATCACATCAATGTCCTCCCTCCAATGCAACGCAAGGAGGAACCACTTGAAGCTCCTGGTGGAATTTGGGGGTCACTAGTGCTCAGGACTACATGCAGGTTGGGTACCCAGAATGGCCTGGTTTAAGCACATTTTCCTTTGCCACACATGACATGCCATTAGTCACCTCCTTTCCCCCCAGAGAGGCTGCATTTCAGCCTTGGTGGCTCCTGATGCCCTCCAGGCTGGTTGTGGGAACATGCCCATGCCATGCCATCTTAGAGCAGCCCCAACGAGCTGGAGGTTGTGGGAAGACCAGCAAAGGGGCCTCCCCTCCACACAGCAGCTGGAGTAAGGGGGGAGGCTCCAATCTCTCCTCCCCAATCTCTTTCCCAGTGCTGCTTTTGCCATTTTCCTAACAGCTCTGCCCCAAACCAAGTGCTGAGCAGCACCTTCCCATCCCTTTGCTAGATGTGGGGAGAAAGAGAAAGCACCTACAACGGTCCTGACACTGCCTGAAAGGTCCCTGCACCCCACAGCAACCTTCAGATGCTTCTCTACAACAACTCTCTCTAGCGCTCAAGTAGAACAAAGCAAGTTCTAAGCTCCTTGAGGTATCACTCAATGTTTGAGTTTCTATTCTGAACAGGTTGGGGCCTCACAGGAAGCACCTTCTCCTTGGCCATTTGCTTTTTTAAAAGAACTGTTTTAACTCAAAGCGTGGTCATTCGTTTCAGGCTGCAGAAATCAAAGCAACTGAGAACACAGGGCAACTCACCATATCATTCCTTCAAACAGGTTGTGAATGATGAGGTGCGACTGGGTAACAACAATGAGCAACGTCACATGGGTCCATCCAAACTGGAAGAGAAGACAGCATGCAGCCCAGCCTGCCCACAGACACTGCCCACGCAGCGCCGGCAGGAATCAGATGCTGTTAGAAACCACTCAGACAGAGAACGCCTCATGCAAGTGTGCATTTCCAGCATGCACCTCCACCACCACAAACACGGAGAGTAGTAAGTTATGGGCATGTTCTTCAGCGCAAGCCCAGAAGTGACCTTCACTGGGAAGACTTCTGCTGGACCAAGTGCTCTTTAGCCCACTCCTATCCATATCTCACTCAGCTTTATGACGACAGAAGAGGAGAAGAGTGACAGATACCCAAGCTATACCCCTGCTGAATGTACTGGAAAGCAGGGGGGGTGGCAGGAGGATGGGGCTGGTCTTTTTTTAGTGGTGCCCAGGGACAGGACAAGAGGAAATGGGCACAAATTTGAACTAAGAAGTTCCATCTAAACATGAGAAGGAACTTCTTTCCTGTGAGGGTGGCAGAGCCCTGGCAGAGGCTGCCCAGAGAGGTGGTGGAGTCTCCTTCTCTGGAGACATTCAAACCCCTCCTGGACACGTTCCTGTGGGACCTGCTCTGGGTGGACCTGCTCTGGCAGGGGATTGGACTGGGCGATCTCCAGAGGTCCCTTCCAACCCCACATCATTCTGTGGTGACATAAGCAATGCCTTCCTGATGTTCTGGAGAAGGGGGACGTTGCCAATTAACCCTGCTGGTGATCTACCCTCAGCAGAGGAGTCAAGCAGCCTCGTGCAGTCCTCTCAGCCTGCAGCAAGTTTCTCAACAGAGAGAAGTGAACATTTGGTCAGAGCCAGCTTCCTAAAAATACAGCCTGCTCACGGTAACTTTTCTTCCAGGCAGCTTTACAAGGCCCAACCAGCACAGAAGCATCTACAGACACATTTTTCTCTGCACAACAGTTTCAAGCAGCCTACACGATTCATTCCTCTGCCTCCCGCTGGGGCAGCCAGGCCCTGCGTGTAACCTTACCATGTAGAACTGGAGGCGATAGTGTTTCTTCACCAGACTCAAGACAAACATGCAGAAACCTAGGAGAGAGAGAGAAGGAAAGGAAATGATGGGAATGTATCTTCAACAGTAAGAAATGCTTTTTTACCATGGCATTGCACAGCTCCTCAGGAGTTTACTTGAGTAAAGCAGCACTGTGGAGTGGGAAAATGTTGGAGATCACAAAATACCAGTGCCTACAAGTAACACTGGGACAGACGAACCATCAGGCTTGGATCTCCTATAGAGTTTTCTTCCACAGAGCCTCACGTAAGAGATTTGCCATCACTACTCGAACCACGCATCACCAAAGAGCAGAGATAATTTGCTACAAATACTGCATTGGACACAACACTCAGGACAAGAGGAGTTCAAGGAGATTTCTCCCCTCTAGCCCAGCCAAGATTAACCAACAGAAACTGTGGTCTTTACCTGTTAAGTATAGGGCGAAAGAAATGAAGCGGTGGTATTTGCTGAGAATTCGCAGGGGCTCCTCTCTCTGAACCAGGGTGAAGAAATAATCTGTCACAGTCTCACCATAGAAAAAGTAGTTTACGCAGAGCAGGAAGTACCTGTGAAGGACACAGAGGTCCATTAGCAGGAATCAGAGAATCATAGAATGATTTGGGTTGGAAGGGACTTTAAAGCCCCCCCGGTGCTCCCCCCTGCCCTGGGCAGGGCCACCTCCCACCAGCCCAGGTTGCTCCAAGCCCCCTCCAACCTGCCCTTGAACCCCTCCAGGGATGGGGCAGCCACAGCTTCTCTGGGCAACCTGGGCCAGGCTCTCACCACCCTCACACCAAACAAGTTCTTCCCCACATCTCAGCTCCATCTCCCCTCTTTTAGGGTCAAACCCTTCCCCCTCATCCTACGGCTCCCCTCCCTGATAAAGAATCCCTCCCCATCCCTTCTGTAGGCCCCCTTAGATACTGGAAGGCTGCTGTAAGGTCTCCCTGGAGCCTAAAAGGCTTCTGGACAAACACAGAACATGACTGACCCCTAAGGTCTTTACACTGCTCTAGCACACTGCAAACAAGCAGTTTTCAAGTGACAGCCAGAACTTTATTTCCCCCAGTCTGGAAATATCTCCCTCATCTAAAGAGGTGGCTGCATCACTCAGCTCTGCTTTGCCATGGATGTCACCGCTGGGGTTTGGTGTTGGCCTCCTGATGCACAAGGACTTCCAGCCTTTAGGTGGCACTCCTCACCAGCCCTCTGCAGCTCCTGCATCCTAAAACCACCCGCTCTGTGCCTCCTGAACCCTGCCCAACCCTTCAGCCTCGTTTCACAGCCACCCAAACTCCCATCCCACCCAAGCAGGATCCCATCCCATGTCCATCTTTCAGCGGTGACACCTCTCAATGCTGTCCCTTGCACAGATCATGGCACTCAAATCTCTGCGCTTCATTAACAAGACAAACTTTATTAATACGGGCTCTTTCAAGATATTGATCTATCAAGATTTGGGGGGGGGAGGCTTTTCCTTTATGAGAGCTGCTCACACATGGCCCTGGTCAACAGGCAGCAATCCCAGGGTCTCTGGTGTGAGGTGATGAATCCCTTGCTGCCTGTCCACAGCGAGATGAAGCGTTACCGCTCCCTACTCACCAGCTGAGCGTCCTGAACCAGGGCAGGTCATACGAGTGGTACACGTTATAGCCAATCGTGATAATCTCATGGAAACATTTGATCTGGACACACATCACCTGCACAAAAAGACAGCCAGAAGCTGTTGGTTAAACATCGCTTTCCTCAAGGAGATAAAAAACACGCACGTGCAGAGCAAAAGACACTTTAGCAGTCGCCATCGGTCTGGCAGGAGGCTCTTAATCCAACATGGGAAGCTCACCATGTTGTTTTTCCCTCCCACTTTCCTCTGCAGGAGGGTTCTAACAACCCCTTGTATTGTTTTAATTGCAGCCAAATAATAGAATGGTTTGGATTGGAAGGGACCTTAAAGATCATTGAGTTCCAACCCCCTGCCCTGGGCAGGGACACCTCCCACCATACCAGGTTGCTCCAAGCCCCCTCCAACCTGGCTTTGAACCCCTCCAGGGATGGGGCAGCCACAGCTTCTCTGGGCAACCTGGGCCAGTGTCTCACCACCCTCCCAGCAAAGAAGTTCTTCCCCACATCTCAGCTCCATCTCCCCTCTTTCAGTGTCAAACCCTTCCCCCTTGTCCTATCACTCCCTTCTCTGTCCCTCCCAATCTCTCCTGTAGGCCCCCTTAGGTACTGGAAGGCTGCTATAAGGTCTCTTCAGAACCTTCTCTTCTCCAGGCTGAAAACCAGGGTAGACGGTTACATATTCCTTCCAGATTTCCTCCACAGAGAGAGAAATCCAGCAAGCTGCATAAGGACACAACACTATTCTAAAATACAAGGCTCTGAGCTGCCCACCCCAGCAATGGTCCCAGCAGCATTCCCCGTATCACTGTGAACCTCAGGGCATCTCTCTGGAGCACTTACTATCGTCATTAAGACCATGGGTCCCAAGTAGATGATGATGAAGAAGAAGGTGATCATTGCCAGCGTGAGGATGCCTCTCACCCACCAATTCTTCCATCTAGGCCGTAGAGAAGGAAAGACGTTAGAGAAAGGCAAAACAATGCAAGGAAGCAAGACAGCACTTCTGCTCTCTGCACATCACAGGAAGGAAACTGAGCCCTGCAAACTCCACGTTTCCCTTTGGTGCTGCAGAGAGACCTCGATCCACTGATGAAGGCCTGGCTGCAGCAGCTGCAGGGCTGTGGCTCCACTCAGCCTTCCCTGCTATGGACCTCACCAAGCACAGAAGGCATTAACCAGGGGCTGAGCATCTCCACAGGGCACTGACCCGGGGCAGGAGAGCGTCTGCTCCTCTTCTGCTACAGGTTTCCCCCACCTTGGACAAGCTGCAGGAGGAGTTCAAATAAAATGGGGACTGTGACCCCTCTCTGTGCTCCTTTTCAAGAGGAGACGTGGGCCCTGGCGTGTTGCAGCCTCGCTGCTCTCCAACAGATCCTGCCTTGAGCCTCTCCCGTCCTCACCACACATCCAGGAGAGACCCTTTCTCCCATGAGAAGAACAAGATGCTTTTTCCCCAAAGCAGTCTGTGGAAAACATTCCCAGTTTGTTCTCAAACCTTGTCCTTATCAGCACGCTTTACTCATGTGTTCCTAGTCACGCTAGTCATTAAAAACCATGGCAGCTGAAGGCTTTGCTGAGTCAAAGTGAAACGCAATGCCTTCTGCCCCCCCCAGAGCCTCTCTTCACCTGCTGAGACCCAGTCTGCAGTGAGGTGGCCCCCCCGCAGCCACCGTAGGTGCTCTCCCACGCAGAGCAGCCCCAGCGCTGCGCTCCCCGCAGGCGTCACCCTCCTCTTCTGCTTCCTGTGGCCTCGGGGGCACCTTCCTGCTTGCACGACTTGCACGACTTGCACGACGGGGAGGGAGAGCGCGCTGCTTCCCAGAGCTGCTTCTCCAGCTTCCAGCAGCCACGGCTGGGCTGGGGAAGCAGGGACACGGGGAGCCTGGCAGGGCAGGGCAGGGGAGAGAAGAGATGCTCAGCGAGCGTTACCTTGAGGACAGGTTGGAGAGAGCTCTGTTCAGGACCTCCGGAGTGTCATCCGACGTCGGCACCGGGGGAGACCCTCCGAATTCGGATTTGCTTTCGCTGTCTGACGCTGTCTCTCCATCCAGCTTGTTCTCAGACTCCGACTCCTAGGAGTTTAGAGAGAGACAAAGAGCATTACTAGACACGGCGCTGGCACTCCCTGAAGAAACTGGGGGCAGCCCAGTGGATGTAACACCTACCCCCACTCTGCTGCTGCGTGACAGAAAGAGAAGACAATATTCTGGGGATTACATGGGGTTATACCCATGAGAAACAGCATCGAGTGTTTTAGGTGACACACAGGATGGGTTTTACTCTCCATCAGTCTCCGCAGCAGCTACAGAAAAAGATCTGTTCCTTTCTGAGCAGTTAAAGACACCGCGCAGTTGATGAATAAGGATCTCTAAGTGCAGTAAGGGACACGGGCTCATTAGCAGGAATTTTTACAAGGTCTCCCAGTCCCCAGGCAGATCTCCAAGTATGCAACACTGCCCAAATTAGACAGAAAGAAAGGCCTCCAAGTAGACAGGCTCAAGGCTTCCAGACAGACTTGACAAGCGCTGACTTTACATGCGGGCACTAAAAATAACACAAGCCCATCCTCAAATAGCCAAAGAGGAAGAGCATGGCTTATCACTCGGGTCCAACCATCCTCCCTGGCCGCAGAAGAAACCTGACGTGCTGGAAAGAAACACACACACGTGCTCTCCCCACCCCTCGCACTGCTCCGGCACTTCGCTCAGAGCAAAGTCCTGGATCCAGGGGGTAAATAAATACAGGCGAGGCAGGAGGTTACTGACAGCTCTGCACCAGGCCAGCAGTGGAAAAAGGATTATCAACGACCTGGAGCTCTGTGTCCAGCTCTGGGGTCCTCAGCACAGGAAGGACGTGGACATGTTGGAACGGGTCCAGTGGAGGGCCACAAAGATGATCAGAGGGATGGAGACAGGCTGAGAGAGCTGGGGTTGTTCAGCCTGGAGAAGAGAAGGCTCTGGGGAGACCTTAGAGCAGCCTTCCAATATCTGAAGGGAGCTACAGGAGAGCTGGGGAGGGACTCTGTGTCAGGGAGTGCAGTGACAGGACAAGGGGTAATGGTTTTAAATTGGAAGAGGGGAGATTTAGATTAGATATCAGAAATAAATTCTTTCCTGTGAGGGTGGTGAGGCACTGGAACAGGTTGCCCAGGGAAGTTGTGGCTGCCCCATCCCTGGAGGGGTTCAAGGCCAGGCTGGATGGGGCTTGGAGCAACCTGCTCTGGTGGAGATGTCCCTGCCCATGGCAGGGGGTTGGAACTTGATGATCCTTAATGTCCCTTCAACTCGGACCATTCTGGCAGGGGGTTGAAACTTGATGATCCTTAATGTCTCTTCAACTCGGACCATTTATGATTCTATGACCTCCTGGCTCCCAGGCAGCCCCAAGCCCTCTCCCCAGCAGCAGTTTTTCCTCCAGTCCAGCTCCTGAACAGAGAACGAATCCAAACTTCCAGGTTTTGCCCCTCATTTTGGCAGCAGAGCTCCATCCTTCTCCTGAGTCCCTGAAGCAAGGAAGGAAAATGCCGTTTCCCGGGAAGCGCTCCTGCATTGGGCACGGCAGGGCCCGTGCACTTGACCTCACACCATGGGCTATTTTAAAACTCCCGGAAAAGAGAGCGTGTCTGCAGGAAAAGTGAGGAGGGAGCCAAACTGGCAAACACTGGGAGCTCTGCAAAAAAAGTGGCTTCATCCCTTCGGGCTCCCAGGCAGCGCTCGGAGAGGGGGGACCCCACCAAAACAAGCATCCGCTGGGGCTGGTTTGGGGTAACCAAAGGGAGGGGGTGTTTGTAAGTCACTGGAGCAGAAAGACTTGAGTAGCTCCCTTATTTAAGGCAGGAAAAGGTAATTACTCCCCAGGCTGGACTGTATCAGTGGCTGCAGGCCAGGGCCGGACAACAGACAAGGACAGCCTCACAGCGTCGGGGGAAGGCAGCTAAAAATACAAGAGTGTTGTCAGAGATGAGTCCTGTGGACGAGCAGACACCGGCCATCACCGGTCACAGCCCTGCTCCGCCTCTGCCTCCCCCTGCTCCACGCTCCCCTCTCGCCATTCCCACCGAAGGAAGGGGCAGGAAGGGGAAAAGCAGCAGTAAATCCCCCTGGCAGCCCTCACGGGGTGTGTGGACCTAGCAGAGAAACACAACCCACCTTTCCCTTCAGCTGGTTTCTAACCGACCTGTAAAATTCCATTTGTCCCTCGGACTCCAAAGAGATTTAGTGCTGTTTAGGTGGGAACACACAAAAGATCAAGTCCCCGAGGCAAAGGGCAGCAGGCAAAAAGACTGGAAATGATAGAGCACTCTGAGGACCCTGAGTTTGGCATCCTACAGCACAGGTCAGGAGCAGGCTTTGGGAAATGACCATGTTCAGCTACAGTTTATGTTTCCCACTGCGACGCTTTCTCTCTGCCTTCCTTCTCCAACAACAGGATTCTCTGGATTGTTCCCCTGTGAGCAACCTAAATGACAGAGAAAAGCTTCAGCTCCAGCCCGACCAAGCTCCATTTCTCCTTCTGGCCTTCTAGATTACATTTAGGATATGGGGGCTTTGCTTCTCTTATTGCACATTTCTAAAAAAGAAAAATTAATGTGACTGACTGAAACCTAATGGGCAGGGAAGCGCTTCAGTACTTAGGGCAACCACCCCCATCTGTACGGGCTAAAAGCAGAAACCTTAAGCAGAATTTCTAAAGCCACCCAAGCATCCATCATCTCATCGACGCGATAAAAGGAGTACGCGTTGAAGCGGGGAAGCAGATCCAAGGCAGGATGTATTCCCCAAAGCACTGACATGTCAGGGCTAAGAGCGGGCAAACGGAGGATCAGAAGTTCCACAAAGTGCCCTGAGACCCAAAGGAAGGGAAGGAGCGTTGATGCCTTCCTCCCTCCCACGGACACAGAGGATGAAAGTCACTGCCCGGCTTGAGACGGAGGAATCCGATGCTGCAACCGAGCGAATCCAAGAGCTGCTGGCACGGGCAGTCCCCGTCCCTGCCACCGAGGACGCAGCCGAGTTGATGCAAACCACATCACCAGTGACCTGCCCCACCACCCAACCTCCTCTGCAGAGCACTTTGGTCTCCTGGAGCAGGGGCAAAGCCTCGCTGGGTCGCTCCAGCGGCGCCCACATCCCGCCGTTCCCCGCCTCATCCCCAGCAGCGGGAACAGCAGAGGTTGTGCAACAGAGACGGCAGTTCCCACCGCTCATATAGAATCATATGGGGTTGGAAGGGACCTCTGGAGATCATTCAAGTCCAACCCCCCCACCGGAGTGGGTCTACCGAGAGCAGGTTGCTCAGGATCTTGTCCAGGCGGTTTTTGAATGTCTCCAGAGAACGTGCTCCAGCAAACATCGGCACATCATTTCATAAGAGTATCTCTTACAAGGAGAGGCTGAGGGACTTGGGGTTTTTTAGTCTGGAGAAGAGAAGGCCAGCCCCATCCTCCTGACACCCACCCTTGAAGTATTTAGAGGCGTTGATCAGATCCCCCCTCAGCCTTCTCTGCTCCGAGGGTGGCAGAGCCCTGGCAGAGGCTGCCCAGAGAGGTGGTGGGGTCTCCTTCTCTGGAGACATTCAAAACCCCCCCGGACACGTTCCTGTGGGACCTGCTCTGGGTGGCCCTGCTCTGGGAGGGGGGTGCACTGGGCGATCTCCGGAGGTTCCTTCCAACTCCACATCATTCTGTGCTTCTGTGATTTCTAGAAAGCACAAAGAAGGCAATCAAGAGGTTTGTCAAGATAAAGGGATGTGGTTGGGGTGCAATCCTAAATGCAGGGCTCATTCCTGCCACGTGGTGTTCAAAAGACGGGTTGATGTAGTGCTGGGAGGTCTGGTTTAGTGATGGTGATGGGTCTTGTTTGTTGTGTGGGTGTCTATTTTTGTCAGTTAGGTTGACGGTTGGACAAGATGATCTTTAAGGTCCCTTCTAACCTAGAAGATTCTGTGATTCTGTGACTTTGCTCGCTCAGTTTAAGCCTGATGGGAGGTGGGAGAAAACATTTTCCCTGATGGCAGAGATCGCCAATGAAAGTGAGGGCCAACAGGCATTTTAACATCCTCCTCTTGTAAACAACTGAGCAGCGTCGGGAATCGGCTCCTCTCCCTACTTACATCTCTCCTTGAAACAGGCTGTTGAGATTATATAGGACATTGTGCCAGATATAGGCTATGGAGAGGACTCGGTAATTGACACTATTTTTATACCTTTTATGCAAATTGCAACCATCAGCCCACAAATCACCAGTTTAAGCAGCTGAGCGGGGTGCTAAATAACTTGTTTAAGCCTGAGCGTGATGCACCCTGGGCTGGGCTACTTAATCCAGCTGTGGCATTGCCTTGGCAACAACCTCCCGTGGGTCCCAGCCCAGCCAACCCCAGCCCTGCAGGAGAATCACCAGGCAGCAGCTTCCAGCAGCAAACGGCAGCCAGGGATGCTCGCCGAGGTCTACAGCCAGGGAAAAATTAACCTGGTTCTTCTGCAAAGAGCTTGTGGCTGCGAGGGGCAGGTTTGGGCTGCATCAAGCCACGGTGACCCCCAATGCCAGCCCCAGCAGCGTCTCAGGGCAGCTGGCTCCAACACATGGGATTCTGTCACCAGTTCTGCTGCTCCCCCAAGAAACACCACATTTCTGCTGCCTCTTCTGTGCTCTTTTCTCCTATTTCTGCCCCAGAAACAGAAGACTGGAAAGACCCAGACTCACAGCAAGTTAACCCAGAAATCGTGACTTGTCTCCTTTCCCAGCCACCAGACTGTGCTGCCTCCTTCACCCTTCAGTGGACCTTTTCTCTGCCTTTTTTTTGGCTGCTGTTTAGGTTCTTCCTCAAACCGAAGCTGTTGAGCCACAGGCTGATCGTCGCATCCATCTCATCACGAGTGAATACACGAATAATGACTTTGAGGGAGCAATTAAGGCAGCACAACCCTGGTACCTAAAAGCTTCAGGGTCTCACTGAACCAGACACTGCCCGGACAAATAAAACCTTTCAGGAATCCCACCACCTTCCCTGGGTGCTCCTGCACAGGGACACAGCTGTCTCCAGCTGTATTTATTCCATATTCTCTTACCACACCTCTCCCGGAACAATTTTTCCTGTTATTTCAGTTGTTGATGTTCCCTCTGCCCCTCTCCTCGCGGGCAGGAGCAGAGCACGTGGTGCAAAGTGTGCCAGGATGGCACAATTCCGCCTGCGCCACACAGAGCCGGGAAACAATTAAAACCCATTAGCAAGAACAAAGCCAACTTTCCCTCCAGTTACGTTGGAATCTGGCTTTACTCTTCCATTTCTTTTCCAGTGTAAGCATTAAGTCATTAAAACACAATCAGATGCAGTAGCTTTTACTGTCTTTTGTTACCAACACGGAGTGATTAAACTGAAGGGCTCTTTTTTGTGCAGATCTGCCCGAGCTCCTTCTTTAATTTCACAGTATTGAAGGCTTCTTACAGAATTGAGGGAATAAGTAATGCAGGAATAGCATTATATAGCATATATAATATCCTATATATCCATTATATAGGGGATGTAATGCTATTACAGAATCACAGAATGATATGGGGTTGGCAGGGACCTCTGGAGATCACCCAGTCCAACCCCCTGCCAGAGCAGGGCCACCCAGAGCAGGTCCCACAGGAACGTGTCCAGGGGGGGTTTGAATGTCTCCAGAGATGGAGACTCCACCACCTCCCTGGGCAGCCTCTGCCAGGGCTCTGCCACCCTCAAAGTCAAGAAGATCCTCCTCACGTTTAGGTGGAACTCCTTATATTGAAGTTTGTGCCCGTTCCCTCTTGTCCTGTCCCTGGGCACCACTGGAAAAAGACCGGCCCCATCCTCCTGACACCCACCCTTGAAGTATTTATAGGTGTTGATCAGATCCCCCCTCAGCCTTCTCTTCTCCAGATCAAAAAGACCCAAGTCCCTCAGCCTCTCCTCATAAGAGAGATGCTTCAGGCCTCTCATCATCTTTGTAGCCCTAGGTCCCTTCCAACCCCATGTCAAGGGATATTATATGGGATATTATTATATAGGATATATAATGTTATCCTATATTACATATATATAGGATAGCAACATGTATTTTATCCGAACTCCTTCATTTCTACACAAGTCACAATGAGAAGAAAGAGCAAAGCCCCCAGATCTCTGTGAGGTCCGTTTCTCTCAACCAATGACCCAAATCAGATGGGGGAAAAATGCCAGATACCCACTTGCTCCTTACATTTCTGGAATCAGTGGATCTAAGCAACATTTGTGAACAAGCATCTTATCACCCTAAAGAAAGATACACGGAAGAAATGAGTTGGTTTAGCCCTCTTTAAGCAACTTAACTCCTGAAACACGCAGGAAGAAATTTGTGCTCCCGTTGGAAATGGTTTTCTCGCAGTGGAAGCTGTGAGGGCGCAGGTTTTTTGCCCAAGTATCCATGACACGATCTCAGTTGCCATAGAAACAAGTCAGCTATCTCCCTGCCAAAAATTTTCTGCCCAATACCGAGATACAGTTAAGTATTCAATGTCGGCAGATTAAATTAGTTCAAGAAACCCCATTATTTGTGCACCTTTCTTGAAGCAAGGTGCTGTTTATTTAGACTTCCTGCCAGATCTTAACAAAAAGCCGTGATGGAAAATGCTAATGCACTGTTAGAGAGAAAAATATAGTTGCTTTTTCAGGCAGTAAAATCGACAGCTAAAACAACAGGGACCAATTGTACCAAAGCCTCGACCTCTGAGCACATTGGCAGGATCAAGGCCAGTATAATTAGTCTAATGGGTACAAACCCAGTGGCCTCAGATATGAAAATGTTTTTCAAAAGTGAATTCACTTCCTACGTCTGGGAAAACTGTCTGCTCCATTCTTCCCTTCCCTTCTTCACTTCTTCATCCCCAATGGCCACTGTGCCACAGCCAAACCCCCCCCAGCAGATCCACCAAGGTGACAAATCATCCCCTTACTCCCCAATTACAGGATAGTCTCTTTTAAAGGTTGACAAGCTCAGAAAGGTGAAACAAGAGAGAGAAGTTGGGAGACCATTAGCACGAGAAGGAAGAAGCCAACAAGCCTCCAGACTTGATTTGTACTAAGGTCCCAAAAAAGCACTGGATTTTTACAAGTGGGCACAAAGTAGCTCAACTCCTGGTCCAGGGGAAAGTGCTTGAACTTCTTGGGCTGTGGAGTTATCTGCAGGACAATTAAATTCAAGTTTCTCATGCCCCCGCCATCAAGATATCCCACCAAGCTGGCATCACACGGCGCCTGCTTGATTTCTTGTCAAAAAAACAAAGATCAGTTTTCATTTATGTTTACATGTTCCCTTCCCCATCCCGAAAAAAAAAACATATTCCAGCGGAAAGCACGCACAGAAATTAGGGCATGCCTAAAAATGGAGACCAGTAGTAGATAACATCACAAAAAGCATAAACCTTTGCAGAGTGGCTGGGATAACGAGGAAAACTCCCGTTGCCATCTCATGGTCCCACAGCCACCCGTTTTGGGGGGAGCACCAGTGAGTTCAGCTGGCTGGGGGGGGGATGTGATGGCAGCTACACATGGTTTGCAGTGAGCAGCACAAGGGCCTGAGCTCGGTGTCAGGGAGGATGATTCACGCCGTGTCACACATCCCCGTGACTCACTCGGCACAAGCTAATCCTCTGCCTGGCCCCCAGCACAGCCCCCACCAGGAAACCAAGAAGGTAAATGCATCTGAGCCCCTTCCAGACGCCGTTGTGTACAGAAGAGCACAAAAATAGGTTGCCGGTTCTGGCGTTCCCCCAGAATTTCCTACTGCTGAGAAAGGAACCTGCCTCCCCCTCCGGCACACGTGATGGAGATGTTTTGGAGACAGGCTTCAGCGCGGGGCTCTCCTGGATCTAACTGGCAGTCCCTCTGCCACAGCATGCACCACGCAGACTCTGCTGTCCCTGCAGGGACAGAGAAACACGTACAGAACCAAGAGAGCAGAGCCCCTTTGCAGCTCTGGGAATCGGCGTCTGAAAGAGGCTGCATTTCAACATTTCGAGCTGTTGTTACTTGGAAGAGCTGTGAGAAACCAGAGGGAGAACAAACAGCTCTGCAGCAACGGGTACGCTATTCGCATCGCAAGGTTAGTGCAGGAAAAGTCTATTTTTGTCCCCTG